TTTGTAGTATGAACCTCAAGTGTTGGGATTTCAACATATAGACAATATATATGTATTATATATCTCAAGTGTTGGGATTTCAACAAATACACATGATATATGTATTACGTCTACCAAGTCTTGGGATTTAAACGTCCAGACAAGATATTTCTATAATGTCCCTCAAGTGTTTGGATTTCAACATATAAACAAGATATATGTATTATGTCTCTTAAGTGTTGGGATTTCCACATTTAGACAAAATTTCTGTATTATGTCTCTCAAGTGTTGGGATTTTAACGTCTAGACAGGATATTTCTATAATGACCCTCAAGTGTCGGAATTTCAACATATAAACAAGATATATGTATAATGTCTCTCAAGTGTTGGGATTTTAACGTCTAGAAAAAATCTTTCAAAAATGACCCTCAAGTGTTGGGATTTCCAAATATATACAAGATATATGTATAATGAGTCTCAAATGTTAATTTCAATAGATAGACAATATATATGTATTATGTCTCTCAAGTGTTGGGATTTTAACGTCTAGACAAGATATTTCTATAATGACCCTCAAGGGTTAGGATTTCCAACACTTGAGGGTCATTATACAAATATCTTGTCTACAAATCCCAACACTTGAAAGACATAATACATATATCTTGTATATATATTAAAATCCCAACACTTGAGGGTCATAATACAAATATATTATCCAGACGTTAAAATCCCAACACTTGAGAGACATAAGACATATATCTTGTCTATGTCTTGAAATAACAACATTTGAGAGACATAGTACATATATTTTGTCTTTATGTTGAAATCCCAACACTTGAGAGACAAAATACATATATATTGTCTAGACATTGAAATGCAACCATTGGAGAGACATTATACATATATCTTGTCTATATAATGATATCCCAACACTTGAGGGTCATCATACAAATATCTTGTCTAGACGTTAAAATCCCAACATTTATGAGTCATAATACATATATCTTGTCTACATGTTGAAATCCCAACACTTGAGGGTCATTATAGAAATATATTGTCAACACATTAAAATCCCAACACTTGAGAGACATAATACATTTATCTTGTTTATATGTTGAAATCCCAACATTTGAGACTCATTATACATATATCTTTTTTATATGTTGAAATCCCAACACTTGAGGGTCATTATAGAAATATATTGTCTACACATTAAAATCCCAACACTTGAGAGACATAATACATTTATCTTGTTTATATGTTTAAATCCCACACTTGAGGGACATTATATAAATATCATGTCTAGACGTTAAAATCCCAACACTTGAGAGACATTATACATATATCTTGTTTATATGTTGAAATCCCACGTTTGAGGGTCATTATAGAAATATATTGTCTACACATTAAAATCCCAACACTTGAGAGACATAATACATTTATCTTGTTTATATGTTTAAATCCCAACACTTGAGAGACATTATATAAATATCATGTCTAGACGTTAAAATCCCAACACTTGAGAGACATAATACATATATCTTGTTTATATGTTGAAATCCCAACACTTGAGGGACATTATAGAAATATCATGTCTAGATGTTAAAATCCCAACACTTGAGAGATAAAATACATATATCATGTCTATATGTTTAAATCCCAACATTTGAGACTCATTATACATATATCTTGTCTACATGTTGAAATCCCAACACTTGAGGGTCATTATTGAAAGATTTTTTCTAGACGTTAAAATCCCAACACTTGAGAGACATTATACATATATCTTGTTTATATGTTGAAATTCCGACACTTGAGGGACATTATAGAAATATCATGTCTTCACGTGAAAATCCCAACACTTGAGAGACATAATACATATATCTTGTTTATATGTTGAAATCCCAACACTTGAGGGACATTATAGAAATATCATGTCTAGATGTTAAAATCCCAACACTTGAGAGATAAAATACATATATCTTGTTTATATGTTGAAATCCCAGCACTTGAGAGAGATAATACATATATCATGTCTATATGTTTAAATCCCAACATTTCAGACTCATTATACATATATCTTGTCTACATGTTTAAATCCCAACACTTGAGGGTCATTTTTGAAAGATTTTTTCTAGACGTTAAAATCCCAACACTTGAAAGACATAATACATAAATCTTGTCCATATGTTAAAATCCCAACACTTGAGAGACATAATACATACATCTTGTCTATTTGTTGAAATCCCAACACTTGAGAGACATAATACATATATCTTGTTTATATGTTGAAATCCCAACACTTGAGGGTCATTATAGAAATATATTGTCTACACATTAAAATCCCAACAATTGAGAGACATAATACATTTATCTTGTTTATATGTTAAAATCCCAACACTTGAGGGACATTATATAAATATCATGTCTAGACGTTAAAATCCCAACACTTGAGAGACATAATACATATATCTTGTTTATATGTTGAAATCCCACGTTTGAGGGTCATTATAGAAATATATTGTCTACACATTAAAATCCCAACACTTGAGAGACATAATACATTTATCTTGTTTATATGTTAAAATCCCAACACTTGAGGGACATTATATAAATATCATGTCTAGACGTTAAAATCCCAACACTTGAGAGACATAATACATATATCTTGTTTATATGTTGAAATCCCACGTTTGAGGGTCATTATAGAAATATATTGTCTACACATTAAAATCCCAACACTTGAGAGACATAATACATTTATCTTGTTTATATGTTAAAATCCCAACACTTGAGGGACATTATATAAATATCATGTCTAGACGTTAAAATCCCAACACTTGAGAGACATAATACATATATCTTGTTTATATGTTGAAATCCCAACACTTGAGGGACATTATAGAAATATCATGTCTAGATGTTAAAATCCCAACACTTGAGAGATAAAATACATATAATTATCTTGTTTATATGTTGAAATCCCAACACTTGAGGGACATTATATAAATATCATGTCTAGACGTTAAAATCCCAACACTTGAGAGAGATAATACATATATCTTGTCTACATGTTGAAATCCCAACACTTGAGGGTCATTATTGAAAGATTTTTTCTAGACGTTAAAATCCCAACACTTGAGAGACATTATACATAAATCTTGTCTATATGTTAAAATCCCAACACTTGAGAGACATAATACATACATCTTGTATATTTGTTGAAATCCCAACACTTGAGAGACATATATATATATATCTTGTCTATATGTTAAAATCCTAACACTTGAGAGACATAATACATTTATCTTGTTTATATGTTGAAATCCCAACACTTGAGGAACATTTAAGAAATATCATGTCTTCACGTTAAAATCCCAACACTTGAGAGACATAATACATATATCTTGTTTATATGTTGAAATCCAAACACTTGAGGGACATTATAGAAACATCTTGTCTGGACGTTAAAATCCCAAGACTTGATAGACGTAATACATATATCATGTGTATGTGTTGAAATCCCAACACTTGAGAGACATATATACATATATCTTGTGTCTGTGTTGAAATCCCAACACTTGAGAGATATAATACATGTATATTATCTATATGTTGAAATCCTAACACTTGAGGGACATTATAGAAATATCATGTCTAGACGTTAAAATCCCAAAAATTGAGAGATATAATACATATATCTTGTTTTATACAAATATCTCTTTTCTATATGTTGAAATCCCAACACTTCAGAGACATAATACATATATCTTGTCTACATGTTGAAATCCCAACATTTGAGGGTCATTATAGAAATATCTTGTCTAGATGTTTAAATCCCAACACTTGAGAGACATAATACATCTTGTCTATATGTTAAAATCCCAACACTTGAGAACACTAAATGAGTCATTATAGACGTTTTTACAAGACATATATGTTTGTTCAGCAAAATAAAATGTAAATATAAATGTAAGTATTTAATATACTTCGTTTCTAATAGATTATTTACAACTGTATCGCCAGTGTTATTTTTACTTTATGCTTTTTTGTCGGTTTACTTTCTTTATCGTCTGCGAGTGTCCTATATATGCACGTAAGAATAGTTTTAGATGAAGACGTAAAAAAATGTCTAACTACCCTTACCATTTATTGCAATATCTATACGAAGAAAGTAATTTTTTGAAGGATAATGGAGTAACAAACATGAATTATCATATAAAATATAAATGTATCTATAATAAAACGTAATAAAAGTGACATAAAATTCAATCTTTTTTTTAATTCTTTCAAAGCACTATTAACTAAATGTATCAGATTTCCATTACCACGGATTTTAATTGTAAATTAAAACACGTGCCATTATATCCAATTATTATCAAGCTACCATCGCCAAATTAACAATCTGCTATTTATATCGTCCGTGTTTCGCTCTTTCTCTATAATTATTGTGAGCATTTAGACTGTGCCATTGTATACACTCAAGTGTTGGGATATTTTGTTCCTGAAGTGTTAATATATAGCCAATTCGGCCTGTAACGTCTAAGATATTGGACTAATGCTGAAGAGGCTACCTACCTCGGAGTGACCTTCGAAAAACGGCTTAATGTATTAAAATTCTGCTATTAAACACTGAAAGGTAAGACTTATTCTTAACTCAATATGGGGCTGATTTGTTAAAGGGCCGAAACGCCAGTTGGGTAATTTGGGGCCGATACGTCTTGGGGCCGAAATGACTCGAAATCAATTCCTGATATCAGTCGTAAGAGGGGTTGGCAGTATCCAGAGATTGATAGAGATACTGTTCAAATCGTTAACGATTACATTACATCATCAGCACCATTACCATAAGAAAATATATTAGACACAACATCTATAAAAAAAACAACAACAACAAATCAACAAAAAACAGTTCTAAAGAAAATTATGGGACAGGTCTGACTTGAGGTCTATTTGATTGTAATTCGTCCAAAGAATATTTGTCATTTAGTTCATGTTTACTATTAAACTGTCGTTCATACCTATGCATTAAGTTGTTTACCGCTAGAGATGAGAATTGTTTAAAATAACCATCAAGCATGTGGAGCAATCGGATTCTAAATTTGACGGAAAAGACAGAGGAGATGCGATTGAAATATAAACTGGTCCCCTGCGCACTTCTAAAATGTACATCTTGGATGGGAACCATAATAGGACAGGGAACCAGATTAATAAACTTATTACGCTGATCCACTGCGCGCAGGTGTCTCAAGATGTGCATTTTTAAATATCTAACAAGTAATAAAGTTTCCTTTTAAAAGGAAAGGCTTGCACAGTTGTGCCTTCATCCCAACCCTTTATAATAATATTTTTTTGTCAAAACGATTTAGATCTATTCTCTATTGTATAAAACTAATAAAGAAAATGATCAATCGTAAAAATATTAACGTGATACTGAAGGAAAACAAGTGTGCACATCTCATTTCCCCTTTTTCGCAGCGAAATCATTCCTTTGCTTTATAGACAAGTAAATGCACTAAAATACTTCGTTACGTGGTACCAATTAATAAGCATGTATCAACTATGATACATAGATCAGCAAGTGGCAAGGTTAATATGATATACATGGGTTATTTTTAGATTACCTCACCAAGAAGTTGAATTGAAGTAGAAGTAGATCTAAATATAACTCGATCATGCGTGATTTGGTAAGCAGGACCAGGAATAATACTACAGTCACCATTCTCTATTGTATAAAACTAATACAGACAAAAAAACAATTATAAAAGAAATTAACTTTTGCGTCTTGAAAAACAAATGAAACGGAACAATTTCGTTTATAATTTATTACGGTTTAAACCGATAAATCAAGTAAAAATAGAAATCCTATTTATATACACAAACTGGGATTACCGAAGTAACTAAAATAGCTTAAATATCCGTAATATTAGTCCGCAGTATGACGGAATCGCCCGAATTGTCACGATTGCAATCGGAACTACATCGGCTATTATCATTAATCGGAAGACTCACCGAAAAGGGCGAAAAGTTGCGATTGGCACGATTGCAGCTGGTTTCCCGTTCAATCATGCACCAACAGATGTAAGCAGGAAACCACCTAACCGGAACAAGTTTTCCAGATGAAATGGCTTGCAGCCGTGGCTGCAAGCCAAAATAAAGTTTCCTTTTAAAAGGAAAGGCTTGCACAGTTGTGCCTTCATCCCAACCCTTTAAAATTGTTTTTTTTTTTTTTGGTTTCAATTTATTATCACAATTTTTTTGAATTACGGTATTTGTATATCATAAACGGTTTATTTAGTTGTTTTTTTTTTTTTTGAAAAACGAATATTTTTGTCAAAACGATTTGAAATCTATTCTCTATTGTATAAAACTAATTAAGAAAATGATCAATCGTAAAAATACTAACGTGGAGATCTATCTATACAAGTGTGCACATTTCATTTCCCCTTTTTCGCAGAGTAATCATTCGTTTGCTTTATAGACAAGTAAATGCACTAAAATACTTCGTTACATGGTACCAATTAATAAGCATATATCAACTATGTTACACGATCACAAATACGATGCGCTATCTGTAGATCAGCACGTGGCAAGGTTAATGATATGCATGGGCTATTTTTAGATTACCTCACCAAGAAGTTGAATTGCGTTCAGTAGATCTAAATATAATTCGATCATGCGTGATTTGGTAAGCAGGACCACCCTTTGAAGACGGAATACTACTACAGTTACCATTCTCTATTGTATAAAACTAATACAGACAAAAAAACAATTATAAAAGAAACTAACTTTTGCGTCTTGAAAAACAATTGAAACGGAACAATTTCGTTTATAATTTATTACAGTTTAAACCGATAAATCAAGTGAAAATAGAAATCCTATTTATATAAACAAACTGGGATTACCGAAGTAACTAAAATAGCTTAGATTTCCGTAATATAACTTCGTCTGATTCCGCGGTATGACGGAATCGCCCGAATTGTCACGATTGCAATCGGAACTACATCGGCTATTATCATTAATCCGAAGAGTGACGGAAAAGGCCGAAAAGTTGCGATTGGAACGATTGCAGCTGGTTTCCCGTTCAATCATGCACTAACAATTGGAAACAGGAAACCACCATACCGGAACAAGTTATTCAAAACAAATGGCTTGCAGCCGTGGCTGCAAGCCAAAAAGTAAAATGGTTTCCTGCGGGGAACATTTTTGATGATATAAAGATATTTCATTTAACTATCTTCAACATTGTTTGGGTGGGTGGATAAATAAACGTTTGTATCAGGAATATAGTTGACAATAATTGATCAATATAGAAGAAGGTCTTTGGAAACTGGTGACCGTTAATGACCGGAGAAGGTCGAACATAAAACAATTATTTCTTTTTAAGAAAATGATTAAATAGGCCTACCATTTTATGAATAATTCCGAGCAAAAAAAAAAAGCAAACACACAAGTTTTCGCAGAAAACATCTCTATTTATTATGGCAGATGCTACTACGAATATTTTAATTTTGTAGATTTTCAGTATAAACAATTTATTGTTTGTAACATTCTGAGATACATATTAAAGAAACATTGATAATTTTCAAACACATCATTCAAGTTTTTCCACCTTAAACGGTATTATAATTATAGAAAATTAAAAATATCACGTAATAGTTTTTTGTTCTTAATTAGGTGTAATTCTGACTTATTCCCTAAAGGATTATCCGTAACGTACCGGCAAACGGTATTTAGCCAGGTTTTCGAAAAGGTCAATTAACCAATCATGTACGGTTTACAGATCACATGCTCCTCCATGTACCGAAAACAGGTCACGTGCTCCTCCATGCCTCAAAAGTTAAACGCGTACCAATACCCTGCGGTCTCCAGACCGCAGGGAATAACATATTGCAGGTCAATTTATATATAATAAACCCAGTTTAAGATCATGTAAAAGACATTGTACATACATGCATACATTTCTTCTACATGTCATAATTAATATACCTTTCTTCTACATGTCATAATGTACATTTCTTCTACATGTCATAATGTACATTTCTTCTACATGTCATAACGTACATTTTTTTCTACATGTCATAATAAGTGTACATTTCTTCTACATGTCATTATGTACATTTCTTCTAAATGTCATTATGTACATTTCTTCTACATGCCATAAGGTACATTTCTTCTACATGTCATAATGTACATTTCTTCCTTCTACATGTCATAATGTACATTTCTTCTGCGTGTCATAATGTACATTTCTTCTACATGTCATTTTGTACATTTCTTCTACATGTCATAATGTACATTCCTTCTACATGTCATAATGTACATTTCTTCTACATGTCATTCTGTACTTTTTCTTCTAAATGTCATTATGTACATTTCTTCTACATGTCATAATGTACATTTCTTCTACATGTCATAATTAATGTACATTTCTTCTACATGTCATTATGTACATTTCTTCTACATGTCATAATTAATGTACATTTCTTCTACATGTCATTATGTACATTTCTTCTGCATGTCATTATGTACATTTCTTCTACATGTCATAATTAATGTACATTTCTTCTACAAGTAATTATGTCCATTTCCTCTTCATGTCAATATGTACATTTTCTTCTACATGATGTCATAATGTACATTTCTTCTACTTGTAATTATGTACATTTCTCCTACATGCATGTCATAATGTACATTTTCTTCTACATGTCATTATGTACATTTCTTCTTCATGTCATAATATACATTCCTTCTACATCGTCTTTCTCCAGCGTATAAATTTTATTCTGTAAAAAAAATGCATTTTGTTGTTTGCTTTTCTTTTATTCTATGTTTTTTGTTCACACAGTACAATAGAATTTGTATAGGCTATAACACATTGTTTGAACATGTTTAATGCTGAATAAAATTTTCGTTTTCGTATTCGTATAAATATTACACAAACTTATGAATAACATTCTTTTCCGTTGTAAAATTATATGTATGAAATGCATGATTTTCACGTGCTCGGACCACTAACTCTCCCTACCAGAAGAAATTAAATCATTTTGGAAGAAGTCACTTAGTTACGGTGTTCTGTTAGGCCCAGTACGTTTTCCATGAAATCCATGATTTTTACGTGCTTGGACCAATAACTCTCCCTACCAGAAGAAATTAAACTATTTTAGAAGAAGTCACTTAGTTACGGTGTTCCGTTAGGCCCAGTACGTTTTCCATGAAATCCATGATTTTTACGTGCTTGGACCAATAACTCTCCCTACCAAAAGAAATAAAACTATTTTAGAAGAAGTCACTTAGTTACGGTGTTCTGTTAGGCCCAGTACGTTTTCCATGAAATCCATGATTTTCACGTGCTTGGACCACTAACTCTCCCTTCCAAAAGAAATTAAACTATTTTTGAAGAAGTCACTTAGTTACGGTGCTTCGTTAGGCCCAGTACGTTTTCCATGAAATCCATGATTTTCACGTGCTTGGACCACTTACTCTCCCTACCAAAAGAAATTAAACTATTTTTGAAGAAGTCACTTAGTTACGGTGCTCCGTTAGGCCAGGTGCGTTTTCTCTAAGAACGAAAAGCGTGAAACATGACAGTACAAATAGTGCGACAGTACGATGGTGACTACGATTGCGAAGCACGACAGCACGACGGTGACAGTCCGTCGTATTATCACCATCGTACTGTCACCATCGTACTGTCGTACTGTCACCATCGTACTGTCGTATTGTCACCATCGTACAGTTGCCTTTCTGTTAGGCATCCACATTAACATACAGTAAATTCTTGTATTGATAAGAGTACTTTAAAATTGAAGTTGATAAAAGTTAATCCAGGTCTTGAATATACTATATTTTAATATACTAAAATACTATAAGTCAAATACAAAATTTCTAGATTAGGCCTATCTGTTGAAATACAAATTATGAAGACAGTGTACATTTTTATAATAAAGCTTTTATTTACAATGTATGTAGATAGATTTTAATTCTGTTAACTTTCGATTTCCTTGATAGTTTATCTTTTATCTTCTTGTTAGTAACTCGTGGCCACGACATATTATCTCATGCGCACCACTTAATTATCTCGTGCGCACGACTTAGTATTTCGTGGCCACGACATAGCATCTCATGAGCACGAGACTTAAAAAATCGCACAAATGTCACCTCTGATCCACCATTATAAAGCATGTTACTGGCGTATAACAGTGAGGAACATTAAAGGAAAATCACCACATCATGCGATAATGGGCGGAATTTCAAAGCCACCCTGGTTCTTGGTGTGTATCACCAAAACAGCGACACCGATTTTAAGGTCTCGTTGTTAGTGGTTGGTCATTATAAAAAACACATTTGGAAAAAGGCTGTAAAATGTTGACATTTTTATTTGGCAATAAGCAGTAGACAGTTTGAATTTACCAGTTAACAGTATACAGTTATTTCATATGTGATTTGGGAACAGTCAAACTGTTGGCCCGAGGTGGAGGGGGTAGTGTTTTGAACTGTTGCCCAAGGCCGTACGGCCGAGGGCAACAGTTCAAAACACTATCCCCGACACCGAGGGACAACTGTTTAACTGTTCCCAAATCACGCATGAAATAACTGTTTTACTACCTGATCAACTACTGTTTAACAGTATTTGCAGAAGAAAAAAGGAACAAGAAAATAGTTTTGCACATATTTTAATAATTAAACTTAATATTTTAACTATGTCACGTCACGTCTAGTTCATGATCAAGATCGATGGACGCTTCAAGTGGGAATCCTCCATCTATGACGTCAATGACATCAGAGCACGAGAGGGAAACAGTCGAAACTATTGACCGGCCAACAGTTCGCGAACGTTGACGTTTTAAAAATTTTAGAAAACAGTAAATAATAACAAATTACATTTATATAAGGTATCAGGTAATAATAGGCATTAAGCAGTTGACAGTGTATGCATTAAACAGTTGCAACTATAGGCATTTAACTGTTGACAGTGTATGCATTAAACAGTTGACAGTAGGCATTAAGCATTAGACAGTAAATAGTAGGATGATTGTCCATATTGAGTAGAAGACCCCTATTGATTTTGGGGTCACAAGGTCAAAGATCAAGGTCACTATGACCTTAAAACTGAAAACAGTTTCCGGAGCATAACTTAAGTTCCATTTGGCCGACAGTGTTCAAACTTCATAGGATGATTGTCCACATTGGGTAGAAGACCCCTATTGATTTTGGGGTCACAAGGTCAAAGGTCAAGGTCATTATTACTTTAAAAATGAAAACAGTTTCTGGAGCATAACTTAAGTTCCATGTGGCCCACAGTATTCAAACTTCACAGGATGATTGTCCATATTGGGTAGAAGACCCCTATTGATTTTGGGGTCACAAGGTCAAAGGTCAAGGTCACTATTACCTTAAAACTGAAAACAGTTTCCGGAACGTAACTTAAGTTCCATTTGGCCGACAGTGTTCAAACTTCATAGGATGATTGTCCATATTGGGTAGGAGACCCCTATTGATTTTGGGGTCACAAGGTCAAAGGTCAAGGTCACTATTACTTTAAAACTGAAAACAGTTTCCAGAGCATAACTTAAGGTCTATTTGTCCCACAATATTCAAACTTCATAGGATGATTGTCCATATTGGGTAGAATACCCCTATTGATTTTGGGGTCACAATGTCAAAGGTCAAGGTCACTATTACTTTAAAACTGAAAACAGTTTCCAGAACATAACTTAATTTCTATTTGGCCCATAGTGTTGAAACTTCATAGGATGATTGTCCATATTGGGTAGAACACCCCTATTGATTTTGGGGTCACACGGTCAAAGTTCAAGGTAGCTATTACCTCAAAACTAAAAACAGTTTCCAGAGCATAACTGAAGTTCCATTTGGCCCACAATATTCAAACTTTATAGGAGGATTGCTATTTGAAAGAGGTAATAGTTTATTTAGTTTATGTAATATCTTACAAATGCTTCATCCTTAGTAAAGAAAAAAAAACACTTTCGGGCATATAATGCTCCGCCTAGCGGTGCTCTTGTTTTAATTAGTATACATGTAGCTAAATTTATTTTGTACGGAAGTCAAAATACTACTTTGTTTACATTTTGCTACTTTAATGACAAATAATTCCCCAATCAGTGCTATACTTTCTTTAAATGACACGTTCTAAAACCATGATTTAAACATTGTAAAACTCATGTTTGCTCTTTCTAAAGTTGGGAAAAATTATTCATTTCTGAGGCATAATGTGCCTTTAAAAACAACAACAATGATTTATAGAGTAGAATATATTTTGTTTGCAGTTTGATAGTACACTGGTACACTGTACCAGAAATTTGTATTTGACATGTGTGAAGCTGACCTGTTAGTCAAATCATATCAATTGCAGTTGTGCCATGTTAGTTACCGTAAGTTAACTTTGAATAATATTAAAAAGAAAACATTTTCCTTTGAAATAATCAGAAATTCAGCATGAACTAAAATTGTAAAGTCGTAGTATAGTGTCATTACAAGTGTTAACAATATGTCACTGTTGTTATTTATCTTCTATGTTAAGTTGTTCAACTTTCAGTAGACCTCGATGTGATTCAACTCGGAATTTCGCCAAATCTTTTCTTGTTATCATTCCAATAGGCTGTTAAAAATACAAAGATATTACAATTATACAAATCATGAAAGTCAAAGATACAAAAGTGTTAACTATCTTCAAGACAAAGACAGAAAGGTTATTTGAAAAATATCATAATAATTTGACTTGGCTTGGAAAAGGAAACATGCTGAATGCAGTTTTTTTAAACAGGATGTTTAGATAATGCCTCAGTGTTGTCCTACGGGGTCATTGATTCCAGCGCTTTTAAGAATAGAAAATTGAGTACCAGTGTTAGGGGGATGTATAAGGGATGTTGCACTTTTTTTCATAATCTCTCATGAACAGACTCAATTAAACCGAGTCTTCAATTATCATGTAATTTTGTTGTGATATTAATAAAGTTGTATCATATAGTATGGGGACCTTTCTGTTGAAAAAGTGTTTAAGTTAAATCGTATACATTATACATTCACAATGCGGTAACTGGAGTGCAGGTATCAGTTACCCGCACTCCAGAGCATGCCCGTTGATTGGCTCATTTTTGTTTGGGTTTACTTATTGTGACGGCAGAGAAAGGGAAAACGGCAGAAATATCATATTCAGATGCTTGTTCATTGGTTACTTTTTTTTCTGGGGTTTCATATTGTGACAACAGGGAAGTGTTTTTATGTTTGACTATGATACAAAAGAGAAAGAACACCAAACCGCTCGGCAATCTGATTTATACTCGGGGGCTACGCCCCCTCGTACAAATCAGATAGCCTCGTGTTTCGGTGCTCTTTCTATTACTTACCTCTTTACTATCGTTTACAACTACCAAGTGACGGAGTCCCAAACCACGGAAAAGTCTAAATAGTCGTGGAAGAGAAAACATCTGCAATGATATATTATTGTCTTATTATTTTAACTAATTGACGTTTCAGTGAAAAGAATATTATGATACTATAACCAACTGACGTTTCAGTGACAAGTATTTTATGATAACTAATTGACGTATTAGTGAAAAGTATTTTATGTTAACCAATTGACGTTTCAGTGAAATGTTTGTTTTTTATGTATTTTATGTTTCAGTGAAAAGTATTTCATGATGACCAACTGACGTTTCAGTTAAAAGTATTATATGATAACCAATTTACGTTTCAATGAAAAGCATTTTATTATAACCAAGTGACGTGTCACTCTGATAACTAATAGACCTTTCAATGAAGAGTATTTCATGACAACTTATTGAAGTTTCAGTGAAAAGTATTTCATGATAACCAATTGACGTTTCTGTGAAAAGTATTTCATGATAACCAATTGACGTTTCAGTGAAAATTATTTCATGATAACCAATTGACGTTGCTGTGAAAAGTATTTCATGATAACCAATTGACGTTTCTGTGAAAAGTATTTCATGTAGACGTTTTTATGAAATACATTAAAGTAAGTCCTTCCGTATTTGTTACAGACTGGTGTATATAAGCATGTATCTGGATAAATTCTCTGGATGATGTACAACGTTTGGTTTCTGATTGTTGAACATGTTTAATAAATACATGTAAATGTCTGTAGATGCTCCTGAGCAGGCCGTATCTAGTTCAATATGTTCTTCACTTGACAATGTATGACTATAATACTATCAAATCATTTACCAATCATTTGAAAGTGTAATTAGTAGCTATGACTTAAATAACGTAGACACCATAAATTTTGAAAATAAAATACAACGAACTTTGAGTAATTGGACATTACCTGAAATTGCGCACTCGATCGCTCATTTTAAATTCAGAATAAATTATACCAAAAACAACAAAAAATGCAGCAATATACCAGCTTGTATTCGTGTAAACAAGATAATATGATATCATAATAATCTATCTATCTATCTTCCGTTAATGTCAAACGCCTTGCGGGGACGTAGACATGTAATAATAATAATAATAATAATAATAATAAAAATAAAAATTTGAATATTTACCGGACCAATAGTATATGGGCTAGGTGAATAATACGGTCTTAGATCCATCAAATAATTCATCTCCTCGTCGGACACAACAACATTCTGAAACCAGTATAACACATACAAACACATCTATCAACGCCGGAATATATAGAACAAATAGTAATTCGCTCATGATACACCGTTAAAATAACGTAAATTTAATCAAACATGTAAATAACATGTACATCTTATGTATATATGAATTGATGTTATTTTGAAAAAATAAACATTCTGTGTAAAACAGTCAATTATTCAAGCATTCACTTCAACTGACAAATTCTTTCATCGGACAAAAATGTGTACAGAAACAGAAGTGCCGTGGCAATGGTCGCCTGCAAACTAAGATTTTATAACATATTTGTATATGGTAATACATGAGCAATATTCATTATCAGCGTATTTTTATATATACTATTTAAAGTGGAAACTTTTAACTGAAGGCTCAATAAACAAGTCAAAGTACACATATTACTATAGTCTATATAGTAATTAATGTACGTAAAGCAGTGACAGCAGTACATGTAATTCATACTATATATAATCATTATTATGAATGAAGAATTCAATACGTTTCTACAATATTGGGACAATTTCAGTTGGAAAATGCAACAATAACCACCAAGTTCCTTTCATTTTGACAGTCTTAAATACTACACTAATTTTGTATATTGAAGACTATCAACGTTTACGAATTTCTGATAATAGATTAAAAGACACTAATGCCATTGACCACTGTCATGGACATTGGAGAACGCCTCTTTCTTGACGAACAGGCAGTTTATACGAGTATGTTAAGGTTTCACTCCAGACAGAAAGCAAATGGACACTTAGTTAAATAAACTATAACAAATATCCCGAACATAGATTTAATTGCCGTTTTTGCCGAGTTTTTTTTTTGTAATATATAATAACAAAAAGTTGTCCAAAAGTTTTCTGTTATATATATTTATTACTATACAGATGTATTATAATTGTAAATACAAATAATAAACTCTCTTAAAACATTTGACTTCTAATTATGTTCATTTTTGTATTTTCTGATCGCAGATCAGATAATACATAGCTAACATCCACGGTCTAACACAAAATTTCCTAACAGTCCTAACAACGCAAATTAGTTCTCACTCAAAACTGCTTAAAAACCAGCAATTTAAAAGAAAGAACAATTTTTTGTTACAAGTGTCCAACAAATTACTACACCTTCAAACTTTTAAAGTAGCGTTGGCTTATAGAGCTGTCAATAAACGCACACTCACAAATTACGCGGATGAATATGATTTTAATCAATGAAAATGCTATTTTTAGCGATGTCGATTACCGAATACTACACAAATAAATCTGACTGCCGAGTAGTTGAATATATAGTTTCTACATGTTGGACTGTTTGGGCGAGAAGATTTTTGCTAAATTATTTACTTCAATTTTAAACAACAGGTTTACCCTGAACAAAATACCTCGATTTTACCCTAACCCGAAATGCAATGGAAAATCTAAATTTAGAATCACTTGATTTTATTCAGCTTTTGATTTTAAAACTTCTCCGTGGTGCAGGGGTAACGCGCTCGTTTGGTGTGTGAGAGGTCTGGAGTTCAAATCCCAGTCGAGTCAACATTTTTTTAATTCTTTTTTTTTAGTGTCTTTGTTAAGGAAATAGCCACGATATGCAAGGATAAAGTGTGGCTATCATAAAAAATTAACATAATTTTTTTTTTGATGCAACTCTAGTTATGCAAAATTCCGTATGTATCAAACTCTGGTGCCCTGCAAGATGACTTATAGTACATAAAAATAAACTTATACAGGAAAACACATACAGATATACAGTACGATTTAGATTGCAGGGATCAGAAAATACCACTGAGCTTGCAGCCCTTTGATTCCAAATATTTTATTACTATGTCATTAATGTCTTGTATGTAATTTAGCAGTTTTGTACATTTTTCAGTTTATCCTCTTAAGCTTATTTGCAGTTTTTATACAGTGTTTATATGTGGGGAAAATGTATTGATTGAAAAGGAATTTCTGTTCTGTGATGCAAAATAAATTCTTTATTACCTCAATTTTCAAATGCTGATCATATTTTTGAAAATCTTTAAGTCTAACACTGCTGGGCTGCTGATCAAGCTGCTGACAAAACACCTGTAATAATAGTGACCAATATAGGGACATGATGGCATAAAATATCACTTTACAAGACTATTTGTTGTATTCTTTAAGTGATGCATTTTCATACATAAAATGACCATATCACAATTCTCAACACGTATACTATTTTTATCTATTCTTAACCCGTAGCCTGCTGGTGACAACTGATTCTACTTATGCGACCAGTGTCGTCTGATCATCGTCTGCACCGCACGTTTAGTCTGTAAAAGTTTCCAATTTTTTTCTAATAATGATGATTAAAAAAGATGGACAACTCATTTAAGATATTTAATATGGTAAGGTGGTGTAAATTAAGAATTGCTTAATAACAGTGACCATTAAAAACCCATAATTTACGTGTAAGTTTGTACAGGTACCAAGTACATGCACAAGGGGAGCGGTGGCCTAATGGTTAAGGTGCCTGTCTCTCAACCCCGGGATCATATGACACCAGTACTGGTTGGTTCCATGAAGCCGGCTCGAAAGTGTTTAGTATAAGTTGCAAGAGCTTGTTTCGCAATCGAGCTTAAACAAATATGTTTAAACCAAATAAATGTACATTAAAAACATGTATCTTTTAGTTTAACATCATGTGTAGGGAATTTAGATAATTGGTCTATGTAAGAATATGGAAGGTACCTTATACTTCAGCAACACAACAAGTTGAGACCGCAGTATCAGACCAGACATTTTACATGGTACCTGAAACAAATAAATGTTACACTGGAGAATAGTATATAATGGGCAAAACAAATTCATTTACACCAGAAATAATTCTTCTTATATGAAATCTTTTGTGTGTAATTATGTATTCAAATATTTCGAGATCCTAAAAGTTATATTAAATGTTTTAGAGAATTAATGATATTACCTTTCCACTATTGCTAACGACTGGAAACCCACAGAATGTTTCATTCCTAAGTGTTTGTACAATATCTCCCACCCTCTCAACCTTTCTAAATGACGACACCGGACAATTCATGATGTCACTGTAAACAAAATGACAAACATATATGTAATAATAAACGTGATAATGAAATAATAATATAAGTTAAACATAAACTCTAACAGCACTTACAGCAGACGAATCAAAAATAGTGTTTTGATTTTGTAGACGTCACATATCCATCTTTAATACCTGAAACATATGTATATTTAACATTTGAAATGGTTCTACCAAAGTTTGTATAAGGCGCCCATATTCCGACCTAGATTAAAGATACACATTAACACTATCTTTTTAGTTGATGATTCTTTTTGTTTTTGTTTATGTTAAAATCGTTGATATAGAAAAAATTCCGATAGTGTTAGAATATCAGTTTCTCTACTTGTTATAGGTTTTGTAAGCGAACAGCATAGATCCTGATCAGACTGCGCGGATGCGCAGGCTGGTCTGGATCCATGGTTGTCGCAAACGCATTATGTTGGTTTTGTCGTGACGCGGCTCATATCATTTATTGAACTGACTATCTACTCCGTACAAAGGGCACTGTGAGCCACTACACATTAATATAATCAATTATACATGTAAATGATGTTAGATCTTACCTAGCTTTGACATTATGGCAGAATGGTGGTGGGTCCCATGGTAACAGAGGTAGTCCAAGAACTTCTATATTCATGTCGTATAAGCCCTATAAACAATATGAATATTATAAACAAAGTGATGATTAGGAAGGATTCACCTGCATTTAACCCTTAACCTGCTGAATTTATGTTATGGATTACTCTTCATTGAAATTTATTTCATTCGAAATTTACAGGATCATATACACATATATTGGAAAGAATAAACTTTTACCAGGGATTAACAGAGATAGATTATGAAAAAAAAGTTGTATCTCAATAAAGAAACTCCACTGAGGTCTAAAGTTTAAACCTACTGAGGTCTAAAGTTTAAACCTCCCATAAAATTTTGAATTTCTTACATAGATCAACTGGAGCACTTAACACGGGAAGATACGCAAAATATAACGAAGAAATATTCTCATAATTAAATTGAAAATCGTATTTTTTGTAAGATTCTTATCCCATTTTACAAAATTAAACTTATAATTCTTGAACAAATCCAGGACCATTATGTCAAGAAACCTCGGTGGAGTCCCTTAAACTTAACTGCGTTTTTCTTCAATTTAGACATACTAGCTGGCTTGTCACCCTAGAGACACATTAATATGCGCAAATATAGCCAATAAAAAATAACATACCGTAGATATAAAATCTCCAACCCATTTCGAGATCATTAGTACAAGAATAATTGGAAGACCGAAAGAAACTTCTCCCGTACACTCTATGATCATCACAGATAAACTGATGGTTGCCCTTAAAACACCACCAAGTTGAGCTGCTGCACCGACTAAAGCATATTTACCTATATGCGTCTCCTTTAAAAGAGAAAAAAGACAAAATACTTCAGTATGTCGTAAATGGAAAAGTAATACATAAATGGAAACTTAACGTAATTCACACAATATATATAAGTCTTGTTACAGTGTGCACAGCCCACGCTTAGCAACCTATAAATTACATTCGATGTGCGTAAGATTATCTATGGTTTATATAAGAGGGTTAATGCTTCTTTTCTCGTGCAGTAACATCTGCAGAAGCACAAGGACAAATTTAAAGACCGAGCCCGCAGGGTTTTAACAACCTCTATGATTGGTATAGAGAAATGTATGCTAGGAAATACATGGTTTTGTCCCATAGGTGCAAGTCTGCAAACAATAAAGGAAACACGCTAGTACTGAAAGTTCAACATTGATGGAAGTTAGTGATGTCAATGATGATGATGATGATGATGATGTAAATGATGATGATGATGACAACAAGATGTAAATGATGATGATGACTACCATAATGGCGAAAGCGGTACTGATGATTAATCAAACCATACTTACATATTGTTCCTTGTCACCTGGGAGAATATACATAGCAGCTAATCCAAACAGCCGTCCCCATGCTGCACCGATTACCAGACAAGGTATAAATACACCTCTAGAAACACTTAAACCATACGTCAATACAGCCAGGAAAAAGAAAGCGACAACAAACAACGATAACGACACCGCTCCATATGAATCTGGAAAAAAATCATATTGTTGCCATATATTTAACGATATTAACCCGATAGTATATACTGTATAGCAAAGAATGAAGTCTTCCCACAATACTCACGGAAATAATTCGGTTACTGATGAACAATACATGTGGAAATAGTTATGTTACTAATTCGCAATTTACGGTGAAATCATATTAATTAAAGATATATACAATTTTCATCATAGTAATTTATTGAGTTACTCAAACTCCAAAATTCCTTATTCTCTTCATATATCCGATTCTATCAGTACTTTTGGCAAATGCTTACATTAAATGGAAAATACAAGACAGTTTTATTTTTTTATCCAATCAAAACACATAAAATAATTGAGCCGCGTCATGACAAAACCAACATAATGGGTTTGCGACCAGCATGGATCCAGACCAGCCTGCGCATACGAGCAGTCTGATCAGGATCCATGCTGTTCGCTATCAGTTTCTTGTCTGTAAGCGAGCGGCATGGATTCTGATCAGACTGCGCGGATGCGCAGGCAGGTCTGTACCCATGCTGGTCGCAAACACATTATGTTGGTATGTTGTGACGCGGCTCAAATGTATTTTTCAACCGTTCTTTCAAAACAAGTATTGAAGACTTTGCTATGTAAATTGAAATATGCTTGATAATGTCTACAATATAGGAAACGTTATTACCAAAAGGGTCGTTAAGAAGGGCCTTCAGACATCCTTCTGGTGTTGCTAAAATCAATGTTGAAAGAGAATGGTGTTCATTTTCTGGACATTTAACCTGGAAAATAATAGTTAAATTATTGAATACCAATACATTAATACAGTTTATAATGGCATTAGTTTTATGATGATTTTTACAAGTTATACTGCCCAGTATAAACAGTTATAAGAAATATAATCTGAGCCATTATACGTGGGTTATATAGCAAACAATCGTTAAAACAAGGTCATATAACCTGTCAAATGTCTGTATAACGAATTTATGATACTCCACAAGAAACACATTTTTTTGCAACATAAAAAATATAAACGTCACAAATTTTTAATAAAAAATAAACGTTACACAAGTGCTCTATAGCAAATTTAAATTACCAATATTTTAATGATGTATTTTCTTGTTTACCTATTTCCTTTATTTACCTATAAATGTACAACATCGGATCCTAGCCAGAGCGACACTTCATTCTCTACGAATACTGCAACTTACGGAAATGCTGTGTGAAATTTTACATGGCATTAAATCACAGAACTTATCATTACTCGGAGCTCGCTTATACATGCAAAATGCACGTGGAATGCACAAGTCAGTCTAAAAAACCGCAAACAAAATAAAGTGACAAAACAGTGACATACTTGAGCAACAATGGCTAGATCGTCGTACGGTTTCTTGTTGGTGCATGCATTAATGTTAGTTATCAAGATAATTGATACAAGCCCAGCTAACGCTGCTACTAACCCAGCTTCTAACACTCGCATACACTTTAACTTGACAAATCTGAATAATGAAATGAAAATAATTCATAAAATGTTACATACTTTTTTTATAAATATCAATAATAAGTACTGTAAGACATGGATTTAACAACGGAACTTTTACCATCAACAAACTCAAATCAAAAAGTTTGAAATTATTTAGGAACGACTAGCCATTTTTCTAAAGTGATATTTGTAGGCAACAATTTCTGAACCTTCCATCTCATACTTTCATAAAGCAATTTTGCTGTTATACAAGATATCAGAGGACGAAAAAAATATTATTTAAACAATATCACACAATTTGGCTTTCACTGAATGGGATTATTTGATATAAGTCCCTTATCTCAACAAAAGAGCAACGGTATCAACAAAGATATTCCTAATAAAATTAATACCCGTGTCCAATTCATACCTAGTCCTAAGAATATTGAAGTTAAATAAAATTTATTGCTAATATAAACATGTAAATATACAGAGAAACAGACTGATTTTGATATAACAAATAGCAAAAAGGTTGGACCCAAGTTCTTATCGGCCCTCCCCTGTCCTAAGAATATAGACAGCAATCAAATCATAACTTCAATACAAACCATCCGGCCTACCGGCGATGGCGTAAAGTGTAAAACTTTTGTACACGTTCATCTTCAATTTAAATTGTGAAAGACCTTATAGTCGTACCTATTTCTAAAAACGGTTAATTTGTAGTTGATAACAACAAAGGCGGCACCTAACAGACCTCCTGAAAATAATTTTAAAAAATCACTAGTTATGCTACTGTGTAAACGTGTTAGGTGGTATATAGCTGCAATGGTTAAGTAACATTTCGTCACATGTTTTTTAAGGTTTTAAGTCACATCACGACATATATGGCGACTTTCAAGCTTCACTGGTGGAAGAAAAGCGCAAGCAAGAGCGGGCACCCGAGTTGAATCACCGCTATTCCGTTAGTTAACCTGACAACTTCCTTCACCTTCATATCGAGCGTTGACCGCACTACTGTTGTTAATCTTTTTTTTATTTCATATAAGTTAATGAAATTTTGCAGTCAAACCTCGATATTTTTGTGCCTTGTTATTCGAAATCGTTTTGTTATGAGTAGGAAAAACACATTTCAGGCATCAAAAACTGTGAAAATTACTTTGATACTAGTCAAAATGAAACAACGTCTAAACATGTGTTGTATTTTTTTGCATGACAAAAATTTTCAGAATGAACGGACGCAAGCACTGATGTACTATAAGTCACACGGATTCTTCTATAGTGTTAACAAAAATTATGTCACGTACATGGACAAATAGTACAGTAACAATTTATACGAACATTCATTTAATGTCTGCTTTATTTCTACATTTACATAAAGATTGTACATAATGTCGTAACTTAATTAGGGGAAGAATATCATCTTGTTAACATTGAATAATCAAGCGGGTATTCAGAAACACTAACCTATAACGGCCATCAACAAATAAACTGGTATTTCTATCAGATCAAACTCCAAATTCTGAAAATGTAGTTAAAGCAGAGCATAATTACACATGTATATGATATCTCATAACTGTAAATAGATATTATACTTTACATATTTCTATAGGTGGTTATTCAAATAATTAAAGAGTCATCTTGTCTGATAGCAGTGCGTTAAACGGAGGCGTCCTTTGCCGAGTGGGTAAGGTCGTTGACTTCAAATCATTTGCCCATCACCGCTGTGGGTTCGAATCCCGGCAGAGACTTTGAATTATTTCAAGTCAGAAAGCTATCCAGCTGGCTTACGGAACTGTCGGCGGTTCCTAGAATAATGCATGGAGCGGCATCTAAGACCCTCCATTAGCTGAAAAGTCGCCATGTAACCTATACTGACTCTGTGTTAGTGCGTCATTGAACCAACCAAACGGAAGCAAAGAAAGAAAGAAAGAAAGAATGAATTAAAGAAAATTATACATAATTAATGTACATGCACGCAGTTGGACTGGTAGAATAGATGGGAATGGCATATCTTCTTAAAAGAAAAAAAAACCTAAAATAACTACCACAAAAAAATTTGTATTTCAAATAATCAGTGGTCAAGATTTTCAATTTCAAACTGGACATCTGGATATTTGTACTTTTGATTTAAAATTTGATCTCAGTTCAAAACTCTAACATTCACATTCTTTAAATTGCTTTCGTAGCATTTATGTTAATATATATGTAAAGTTGGAGGTAGGTTTGAGTACTAATAACTCACTGGAAATACGTCGAATCTCACCAAGCCCGGGGATGACAAACGTAACGGTGTGCCGTGGAATATACTGAGCATTAAATTAGTGAAGAAGCACGCAATCATAGCTGTAAAAAACTGAAAAACAAAGTTGATATTAAGTGTGCGACAGATATGATTTTTTTTTTCAATAAATCCCATTATTGTAATCAATTTTCGAAAAAAAGTCTAACCCAAAGTTAGCAGACGCTTCAACAATAGATCAAAACTAATTTAATTCCGTATCGCACAGCACTTTACTATCTCTGTCACTTATACATGTATAATATAGAAAAAAAAGCCAACAAAACGTTCATTACATCGCAACAATAACAATTACTGATTACAAATGTAACAGTCCCAATTGCTCATGCATTCGTATTTGTGAGGTTACTGAGTATTCCTCATACAAATTAAACTTCCTAGACTCGTATTTCCTTTATATCATACCGGCAACTCATAATAAAACATTCACAAATGGGTTACATAAGTAAATTCATAAAAACGTAATTATCTAATACCGATCTAGATCAAGACACATTAACTTATCTTGGTATATTGTCTATACTACATACTACTCTCCAAGTCAGTGCATTACTCCAGAAACTAGCAGCTTCTTCTAACGAGAACAGTGTCCCACCGACTGGTGTCCCAAACGCCGCAGACACCCCAGCTGCAGCGCCCGCAGATACAAAATCCCGGGTTTCATGATCATCCAGAAATCCAGCGTATATCTGTTTTGATAAATAACAACATTTTATTTTGTATAGGAAGGTCACTGCTCCATAATATATATGCACTGCCAATAATGTACACATAATATGAATTATAGACACACAAAATAGTGAAAATACATAAAAAGTTATAAATCGATAAAAATGAAATCCGACTTTAACAGTTTCTAAAACGGAATTGTCATGAATTTGAAAAAGGACAATATAGGCATTCGTTTAAAGGACTTACAGAAACTCTTTTCCTTCCACATGGTAGCCTTAGTCTACCTTTTCCAATACCTGCTGCAATTATGCTTCCAGAATGAGCCATAGGTCCCTCCTGGTCATACAAATAGAAAATATATACAAATGTACAAATATAGATACCTAACTTTGTCTTGTCTGTATAAATATATACTTACTGTTCCAGCTTGTTAAGATAAAAAATCTGACTATGTTCAGTGCGCGACCAGGTCTTTAATTATAAGAAGTTTCAGGTCCATTAAGAGAAATAATTCAGTACAAATTCAGGCTAGAGTTACGGGTACAATATTAGTTAAAACAGATTTTTGACAGGTTATATGGCTCTATATAAACGGTAGTTTGCATATATAACCAAAGCCGCTAGGCGAGAGATATATTGCAAACAACCGTTTATATACGACCATATAAAATGTCAGTAATCTTGTTAACGAATTTATAATACTTCGAACTTCCATTTTTAAAAGACAAAATGTAATTACTTCAAAAATATGATGGCAGCTGCTGTCAATTTATGAAAAAAATCTCACTTTTTTCTCAAAAACAGGAAGTTTTCAGTATTATAAATTCGTTACAGGTTATATGGCTGTACATAAACGGCTCGGGTTTTTACAAACAACCGTTTATATGTGGCAATATAACCTGTCAAAAATATTTTAAACTTATAACATAAACAAGATCGCAAATGGAGCTGCTAAAAGTGGCTCTTATATTTTACTTGTCACACTGTATTATATCGAAATTTTGGATTACATCAATATCAAAACTTTTCCCTATCCAGTACGTCAAATCATAACTTCAATACAAACCATACGTTGGCATTTTGATTTCAGAACTTGTCCCCGTTAACTTTATGACCAGTAGGTACAAAATTTCAGTAAAAATTTCCGCAATCGGAAATTGGACATTAATTGTTTCAAGTTCAGTTACAAAGGCTTATATTGAGGGCTTTTTTTATTTACGTGTATATCAATGAAAAAAGGAGAGAATGTCATTTAGTTTACCATTTTGAGAATCAGGTTAAAGTTTTAGTCAAGAAATGGAAATATAAACAAAATTGTGCGGAGCATGTCGATCGACGCGATAAACAATGAAAATTGAATGCTTTATAAAGAACAAAGAATTATAATACCTTTCCACATGCTAGGCCTCCTAGAATAGACATAATCACACCCCCTACTTTTGCTAGAAAACATTCTAATGTCAGCAATCCGGGGATCTTTACTCCGTTCAGGTACGATTTGATATATGGTATACCACCACCAAATGCCATTGGCTAAAAGACAATACAAATTTTAGATACATCTTAAACAAATAATAAGTACAGAATTTACGTAAAACATCGGGAAAAGGTGATGTTTCGGAAGCATTAATCACAACAAAATTACATGGCAATAGCAGACTCTGTTTGATTGAGTCTGTACATAAGAGATAATAAAAAAATTGCGACATCCCTCATGCACCCTAGCACCGTCTTGAGGCGTTATCAATTTTCAACACTTAACAGTGCTGGAATCAACCATGAAAAAGCCTTTCTGATGTTCTAGCCTGAATGGAAAATCAACAGCAATTATTTTTAGCAAGGAACATTTAACTTCAATAGTGAAAAGGCATACCTGTAGTCATTGCAATGAAACAATACTTGAGTAATTAATTGTAAAATATTTTTGGTTGGGTTTTACGTCGCACCAACACAGTATAGGTCAATTGACGACGTTCCAGCTAAACCGGTGAAGGAAGACCTTAGGTGCCCTTTAGTGCATTACTTCATGCAAGAACAGGCACCTGAGTTGAACCACCGACGTTCCGTAAGCTAGCTGGATAGCTTCCTCACATGGAAGAATCCGAAGTCGGGATTTGAACCAACAGCGGTGAGAGGCTATGACCATAACCTTTTAAAGACGTTAATTGCAAATGATCATCTTCATTTCATATCTAACGTGAAAAGAAAACTCCGATGTGTCTACATGTGTAAATATAACATAATGAATGGATTTCCGGATATATTTGTATGTTTAAAATCACCTGAAAATATACAATCAGTGCAGCCCCACAGCAAGATACAACCACATTTATAACAATCCATGTCACCGCTGGCTGCCACAGGCACTCTTCATTAGAACATCTATCAATGTCTGAATACTGTTAGGGTTTTCTCTAAATATATATTAATTAATACTAGTATGAACGAAACGTACAAGACTTCAATACGAGAAAATCAGACTTTGCATGACTATATTCATTGTACACCAACCTTGATGATGAATGACTAATATTTACTTCTGGTGACCGGTTTTCAAGAAAGGAGGATGTCCTTTTGACAGAAAATATTTTTCATGTTATTAACTATCACCAACATACCCATGAAAGGAAATACAAATGATGACGTAGTGGTTTAAGTCTCTGCTTCTCAACATAGGGTTTGTGAGTTCGTGTTCTATGTTTCCTCATGTGACAAACATAAATGGTTAGATCCAGGAAGCGGACTCAAAGTGTTTCAAAAAGACTTCACGCTTTTAAGCTGTGAATAAGTGATTTTACTGATACTGCATGTGGTCTCCACTTATAACGAGTTTGGATATAGCGCATAATCTGATATAAGGACCAATCTCGCTATGCCTTTATATCGTATATTAAAATCATCTTTAACAGCACACTCGCTTATAGCGTAACTCGGTTATAAGAAACTCCGAAATATGCTCATAAACATTCATATACCACTGTAATAATGATTCTAAATTATAGCAACTTAACATACTACAAAGAATGTATGAACACAGCATAAGTAAATAAGGTTTGAGATAATGTGCCAAGATACAAGGATACAGTTTTGTAAAAAATCAAATTTAGCATGCCCAATGGTTTCGACAAGAATGTGGACAGTTGAAGCTAGAATAGCTGTTAACAGGCCTGTGAAGAACGCCATCAACCAGCGATATAATATCTCTTTCTGAAATGGAAGCAAGTACAAGTATATTAATTTTGAAGAACAACTGTCCTGAATTTAAATAATAAGAAAACAATTGCACTTGGCAGAAAATGAACGAGAAAATGAACAATCTGTTTACAATGTACTAACATAACTTGGGGCGTCCGTGGTGGAGTGGTTAAGGCCATTGACTTCAAACCACTTGCACCTCACCACTGTGGGTTCAAATCTCGACAGGGACTTTTGATTCTTTCATGTGAGGAAGCTATCCAGCAAGCTTACGGAACATCGGGGGTTCTACTCAGGTGCCCGTTCGTGCCTGAAATAATGCACGGAAGGGCATCTGAGGTCTTCCTCCATCAGTAAAGCTGGAACGTCGCCATATGACCTATACTGTGTCGGTGTGACGTAAATCCCAACTAAACAAACAAACAAAACTAACATAACTTTGACAGAATAACGACAATTTGTAACATAACCTAGCTAGAGGTATACGAGAATTATCCGACAGAACATCACAGTGTGCCGAAAGTGTAAATTTTGGGAAAAATTGCCCAGTTTTGGAAATTTTTGTCATAAAATTGCTTAATTGGGAAAAATATATGGAGCCTTTTGAAACCTCCTTCATGCTCTTTTGACTGTGCAAAATTATTTATTCCACTCAATGCAAAAAAACATTTAAAGCATAAAAATGCAATAAAATTTGAAAATGAAATATGTGGAAACATCCGTCTGATTGTCAGTTTTGATATTGGGAATTTCAAGCAAAGAACGCCTTCAAAACGTGAACAATGACAGACAGCAGACACCAAAAGTTGTCCTTGTTATCAATTTCAAAAACACTCTAGTAAATATTTCCACAAAGATATTACGAACATAAATATCTTATATATTGTGGTCGTACAGAATTAAAGTGTTAAACTTACTTTTTCATTAGGTTTGACCTTGTGCTGTTGATGAAGCTTATTCTCGATTGTATCAAAATTCAGACTCTGAAAATAAATGTTTATACTTGTGACAAAGAAAAAACATACGTCAAAGATATGTAAATATCATATACGCTGCAAGACGTGTATATTATATTTTTATACATATATTTTTATTTCGTTTCGTGTTAATGCCCTAATTGATAGGATGGTATCTGTCCTAAGTAATTATTTACCAGTGATATATTATTATTATCCGAGACATGTTGATCTCTTGTGTCCGTAAGTGAAAGTACTAGTATTCTTAGTTAATGTTTCCTTATAGCTAAACAATACTGTGTAACTAAATGACATATGTTTTATAAAGTTTTGAAATTGACCATTCGACTATTTTATATGCTTATTTTTATAGGTAGTGTGTACCCGGGTGTATACTGCTCGGATGTATTATGATAATTTTCTGTTTATCTAGTCATAGCAAATTTGTATCATGTCATTTGTTCATGTTATATAGCAAATTTGTATTACGTCATTTGTTCATGTTTAATATGTTGTATTCTGATGCCTCTCAGAGGCCTAGAATTTGAAAATAAAAGTTCAAAGTTCAAAGTTCAAAGTTCAAAGAAATAAATTCTTGAAAGTCTTATAATTCTGTTAAAGCAGACTTGGTACAAAATAGATTTTTCATCTTTTGAATATAAGACAATATTCTTCTTATTTTTACATAAAATAATTACTTATAAAATATTTTCATTTTCGGACATTACATAAGAATATATACGTACTTATCTGGTAATTATTGTAATAAAAATATGTTAAAATAGGCGTTGAAACAGAAAATAAAACGAAACAAACAAATATATTTAGCAATGAAAAACGAAAATATATTTAATTAAGTGCGATTTTTTTTTGTTAATAAAAAAATTACTAATCAAAACAGCACTAACCTCCCATTTAGAAACTAGTCTTTTCCGGAATCTGGTCTTATATCCTTGTCCTTTAATTCTTCTAGACAGTTCCTTTATGAAAAAAGAAAGAAAACAAACAAACACAAAATAATACAAAGAAAAAAAGAAAAAAATGAAAACAATTTGATCTCTAGCGACCTGGAAACAATCAAGTTTACATATTAGATATGCTAAGAGAATGAACACTTTTGTTTGCATTATTGTTTCTTGCAATCTTTTTGCAGCAATATAAATGTTTTATTAATATACTTGCATAAGCGCACATCATTTTCTTAGTAATACAACTTCAAAAAAGATCCAATAGTCGATATTTAACATATCTGTCGGTAATTAATTGTTTTGGTGTAAAGATATTGATTGTTAAGATATAACAATCACTAAATGTGTTTAGTTGTTTAATCCAAAGGGACTGCATTATAGATAAGGGCCGGTTACATTGATAGCTATGGTGGCTGATTTGGTACATTTTGCGCGTTGCGTCGTCGATAGCGACAACACAACCTGTATCGTTCTCGCCTTTTCGTCTTGTCGCTAGCGAAATGCGCAAAACGGCGCGTTATCGCACTGTCGTCCTGTCGCTAGCGAAGCACGCCAAACGGCGTGTTGTCGTGCGGCGCGTTGTCGTGTTTGCGCTTGGCTTATAAGCCAATTCTTCGATTTGAGCCGAGCGACAATGTGACATCGCGACAACACGCCACACGACAACGCGCCGTTTGGCGTGGATCGTTAGCGACAGGACGACAAGACGAGTCAGACAATGCACCATTTGGTGCTTTGTCGTGCTGTCGCTAGCGACAACACGCCGCACAAAAGCTCACATGTAATGTATACAAGTAAACACGACAGAGTTGTCTCCAATACCATAACAATTGAAAAAGATCCACCATATCATAATACAAATGATCAGAAAATAATTCACTTTCTGTATGATACAATGCATACATTAGTTCAATGAGCTTACCTGCCATTTACTGGAGAGTCTTGCTGTTAAAGTGGATGACGTCAATGTATCTGTTAGTGGGGCTTGGGTGTCAACATTGTCAATTAGATCACATTCAACACTGTCAGAGACCTTGTCATGTTTATTACCATCTTCATGCTCACTGTTTTTACTTTTCTGTATGTCCGAATCCAAAACCTCAGTTACAGTAAACTGGATAAAATATGTAAGACGTTCGCATGAACTGTTAAATGCTTTTCAAAGGTATATATGTACGTAGGCCACATTTACTTGTAATACAAATTATACATGTACCTTTGTATATAAAATTCTAGTAATAAATAAATATCTTGACTTGCTCTTGCTTGACGTGACTTTATTTCTGGAAATGAATAACTTCAGTATTTAAGAAGAATGTACAAAACTGTATGGTTAATACAGTATGGTATGAAAAAGTATGGTTTTAAAAAAAGCTTTTAGGTTGCTATGTCCCACAAAATGTCCATTCCAACCTTTCTTTATTTCCTATGTTATTCAACATGTCAGTTTTGTTACAAGTGATCTTTTGTTCAAGTATTTATCAAAAACCATACATTGATAACACTGTTATGGCCAAGTGTAACAAAATTCACTTATTTGACATTAAGTGTCAAGGTCAAATTAAAGTCAAGGTCAATTAAATCTTCTCTTGTTCCAAGGACATTTTTGTGCCTAAGTATGCAGACAATCCATTCATGACATAGCTAACAAAGTTACAGCTAAACACAACATTAACTGTGACGTTAAAAAAAATTGACATTCAGGGTCAATGTCTTTTATGAGTCAAGGTAAAACTATAACTTTGATCTCCTTTAAGACAGTGTCTTTATAATTGTTGTACTGTCAAGTACGAAGACATATCAATTCATATACACAAATGTATAAACAAGAGCTGTCGGTAGGACAGCAACGCTCGACTATTCTTAGTGCTTGATAGTAAAAAAGCCTTGATAATGTAAAATTTTCTAAGTAAGGAAAAGGGTAAAAATTTTCTTTAAATCCATATTACAGATATAGGCCTTGGAGAGAGTCCTATTATGCTCTCAAAGAAGACTATAAAATTTCAACTTGTTTCAAAGCCATATGTCAATGGACTTTGAAAATATTTGAGGTATTACAAAAACTTTAACGTAAATTCTAAGTCGAAAAAGGGGCATAATTCTGTCAAAATGCTTGATACAGTTACCTCCCCCTGTCTACAGGTTGGGGTCATGATGGTGAATAAGTGTGCAAAGTTTCAAAGCCATATGTCAATGGACTTTGAAAATATTTGAGGTATTACAAAAACTTTAACGTAAATTCTAAGTCGAAAAAGGGGCATAATTCTGTCAAAATGCTTGATACAGTTACCTCCCCCTGTCTACAGGTTGGGGTCATGATGGTGAACAAGTGTGCAAAGTTTCAAAGCCATATGTCAATGGACTTTGAAAATATTTGAGGTATTACAAAAACTTTAACGTAAATTCTAAGTCGAAAAAGGGGCATAATTCTGTCAAAATGCTTGATACAGTTACCTCCCCCTGTCTACAGGTTGGGGTCATAATGGTGAACAAGTGTGCAAAGTTTCAAAGCCATATGTCAATGGACTTTGAAAATATTTGAGGTATTACAAAAACTTTAACGTAAATTCTAAGTCGAAAAAGGGGCATAATTCTGTCAAAATGCTTGATACAGTTACCTCCCCCTGTCTACAGGTTGGGGTCATGATGGTGAACAAGTGTGCAAAGTTTCAAAGCTATATGTCAATTTGACTTTGAAAATATTTGAGGTATTACAAAAACTTTAACATATAGTGGTACGCCGACGCGGACACCAACGCCGACGCCGACGCTCGGGTGACTACAATAGCTCTACTTATTCTTATCGAATAGTCGAGCTAAAAAGTGAAAGCCAATACAGCAAAATTAAGCAAAATTCAGAAATTTGACCTACAAGGTCAATGCCATTTATAAGTCAATGTTAAGTTCAATCAGCCCCTCTGGAAAGTCTTGTTCAAAGAGCTGTTGTGTCCAAGTATAAAGACAATATCTATTAAGAAATAAAAATTTAAAAAAACAATGGCCAATGTTTAAGTTTCGGATCGTCAGCGGCAACGATAACCTGGCTGTTACAATAACTCGAAAAAGTCGAATTAAAAACACATTAGATATGAGATTAATAATGATAATAAAATGTACACCATATCAATGATTTACAATAAAAGAAAACGTTTATGTATTAACTGGTAATTTAAGTGTTCCAATTATAAAAAAAATATACGCAATCTAACATGCAATCTGAAAAATATGTTTGTATTCAAATGACATATGGTTAAAAATTAAGCATTTTAAATATTCAATTTAAACAGAAAATTCTATAAACATTTACACTTTTCATAAATAATGTTTTTTAAAACAGAAATCTTCTACGAACCTGAGTATGTTTCTTTCTGATTGTCTCTGTATTCATACTGTTTGTATAAACAATGCACTTGTCAAAACGTGAATGTCTCTATGCTTTAAATCCGGAAAAATAATCGCATGAAAACAGCAACAAATTTATCACAATGAGTTTATTTGTTTCAAGAATACATTCTAAATCTGATTATTTAAGGTAACTTCCCCAACACCGATAATATTTGATTAAACTGAAATTTTACTCGTATTCAATCAGTCTATTCAACAAAATGCTTTAGTTGGATAAAAATCAGAATGTTCCACTGTTGAATGATCTGCAACTACGAAAACCTATTCAAGATAGGTGTGTAGTTGATACACACAATATCAACGGAACATGTCTAGTTCAAATAAACTTTTCATTTTGTTCAAGCCCTTATATCTAGGTTAATATTGAAAAAGCAATTAATTTTCATTACCAATCATACGTTTGACACCCGCTGTTAAAAAACAGTGAGTTTATCACTCAAATGTTGATAGCCATTACATTCAATTTTGTTCGGGTTATGATTGTCAAAGGCATTTTAAATGCTGATTTGCAAATAAAAGAAATGAAATATATGTATATCGAATTATATACAGTGAGTGCAACAATCTGGTAATATATTCGAAGTTATCGTTTGTCTTGTTTGAATGAAAATCAATCACTGTGTCGATCATGGTAAAAAATAACCTTTTCGTTAACATTGACAAGAGCGCTTTTCATACAGTTTCCCTCATAATTTTAGTAATTCTAACATGAAAGTATTTTCACACCTTTTCCTTTTTAATACACAAACATATATACAACACCTTTATATAATAATGTATATTCAACAACATAGTTTATTTATATATATATATTTCTTTAATCAAAGAACATCTTGTGTGATATAAAATCAAAGAACATCTTGTGTGATATAAAAAGAATATTCAAGTTTCTTCTGTAAATACAGGATTTATTTTCATCGAGTGGTATGAAAATAAATAAGCCACGAGTGAAATATGATAATTTTCATACCACATATATTATAAATCCTGTTATAATAGAAAAAACTTGAATTTTCTGTTTATTATATACTTTTTCCCTTTTTTTACCTTATGAATAGGAAGAATTCCCTTTTAATTTTGTGTATTGACTGAATTTAGAATAAAGTAGTCCGGCAAGACACCAGTAAAAATACGGAAAATATGATTCACTGCAGTGAAAAATAAATTTTTGCAGTGAAAATACGGAAAATAAATAAACGCACTATCGTTCATAAATATTTTTCAATATTTCATGTAAAAATATATAATAAAAGAACATCTTGTATGATATAACAATTAATGTATATGTTTAGTCATTGAAAAAAAAAAAACATGGTAATTAAGCTCTAGACGATCGCTGATATAGCAAGATCGGGCGCTGGTAGTAACACTTTTTGACTGCGCCATAATTATGTCTTATATTTCCGTAAAAGGCAGCTTCAAATAGACAACGAAATCGACAGCTTCCAATCGGCAACATATAATCGGAACAATGGGCATCTGCCAGCTCCGTTATTGCCACACCGTACGTATAACACCCTCAATTAATTAACATGCGGTCATCTGACGACTGTGTGTCTTGTGCTAGCGTTATGTGCCTAACGTTACCGTCGGAGGTAGTCTCAAGGAAGAATAATGTTTGCTTATCTGCAACGAAATGCTTGGGGCACGGTAAGCACCACATACTTATATTGTTACTTCTACAACTTTTCATGCAGTTTATATATAGACATACTAAAATCGTTGTACTTAGTAAAGTCCGTGCCATGCGGGCATTGTGCTGCCATGTTTCTTAAGCCTTTACTAAATTGTCGTGAATGGTAGCTTCTTGCATTGGCCGACCTGCTATGAAATCTGACACAGCGGGCCCTGTAAAATGATGGTGATGACGATATTTTGTAGACTTTATTTACAGAAATCACAAATGCCAATTCCACGCCAATGTGCCTTATAATTTCGTAGACGGCCAGTTTGCCTCGAAATTATACAATATTAGAAAGCTCATGTAATTAATACAGGTACGCATTAGCAGACGAAATCGTCGCGCAGACTAAATGCCTATGCCATGCGACCATGTTTCTTGTCCTAGCGCCATACATGCTGTTGCATCTGCCAATTAGCAACGAAATCGACTCAATTCGGTTGTGGACATTGTAGGCTCGGGAAATGTTGCTTTTTTACGAAATAAACTCCAAACAGAACAAAAATTCGCCGCACAGGATAGCGCCCATGACACGCGGGCATTATGCGGTCAAATTTCTTGGGCTAGTGTCATGTGCGTCATGAAATGTAGCCTCCAGGCTATTGCAAATCTGCAGCAAGTTAGAACCACTTGGTAGCTTACGGTGGGTTCGAAAACTAATTATTTCTTTTTCAAAAATACCTAGCATTTAAATATACAAGTACTAGCAGACGAAATCACCAGGCAGGTTTAAACGCCTATATTTGCGTTTAGCAGTCTAGCATAATGTCTCTTAAATTTGCATAAAGGGCAGCCACCAAGCTTTAACTAGCATTGGTCAATCTGCAACGTCATCTACGAAATTGTGCAGATATAGTGTGTATTCAAATCTATGTTATTTATTTTATTAATAGAAACAACACTTAATTGGGACACTGTTTCTATTCGATGGCAATGAAAAAACAATGTCACAGAGACGCAGCGTCTCTCTCACACCCTAACACGGGCTTCTGCAATATTTCTATTTAAAACTTATGATGGTTATAAACAATAACGCATAATCGTCGACGATTAGAGTAAGAAAAATAAAAGAAGTTGAATTGTTTAATTTGCCTACATGTCTGTAGCTCTAATGAATACAATGTGTTGTGTCCATCTTCCACCTTCTATCAAAACACTAGTTAATGTTTGTAAAAAATAATTAGATAAAGTTGACACTGTTGGCATATGGCATCACAACTTCAATATTTTGGCTATTTACAGAATCTTTAATATTAAAACACAACAAAATTTCGAGTTATATAATTCTATTGAAATCTTTCATACATCAACATTCAGTCACATTACTACACAGAAAATAAAATGTCTGTTGTATAATAATTACACAGAGAAAATATGACAGAATAAATACACAATATGTCTCTTCTTTCACGTTAGCAATGTCACTATTTTTCAATCTTCTACCCAAGATATAACGTAGAAATCTTTATATTACTGGTCTAAAATGTTTATTATTTGATGCTTTTCTCTAACATAAAAATCAAAATTTTAAAAAAGCATATGTGAATGCAAGTTGCAAATTATTAATACACGGTTTGCTGTAACACTTATCATTGGATGGATATATATTTTTTTAATAATCAAGCAAATCTTATGCACTTAATCAGTAATGGCATATCTTAAATTACAAGTTGTGTACTTCTATGACTGAAATGAAAGAAATGGAGAGTAAACCCAAATAAAAACCCAACTTAACTCACATATTAATGAAGTTAAAAAGACATCTCTTACGAAACAAAAAATAAACTGGATCTTTGCCACGGCAGTAAAATATAATATTATGGCAAATACATTAAATTAATACATACATTAAATTCAGACATTTAAACACACATTTCTCATGAGTTCTCTAGTAAAAACTGCATAATTGATTATAAAACACAAATGACAGCATAGGAGATGAAAAGATGATACAAGAAATATAACTGAAGGTCTCGTCGCAATCATTATATCTACCAGCATTAACAAACACGACGATCTGTTTGGAAATCTGGAGTACCTGGCACAAGAAATGTGCTTTATGATTCCATTATTCAATACCAACATATATGTAACATCCTCACGTGAGCACCCATTACATGTACATTTTATAACAACTGCAAACTACAGGTTTGTTATTTTGGCAATATGCAAAAGGAAGAAATTTAGAGATTCTTAAAAAAAATATGTATCTTAATGTAGTTATTTGTAGATGGTGATATTTGTTCAGTAGCTCACTTAATTTTATCCCATGTTTCAAATTGCCTTTAAAGTTCTGTACTTTTTGTCTTTAAACGGCGTAATCAAAATAGATAGAATAGAAATTAGGCAAATCATTGCTGGACGAGTCTGGTGTAAAATTGACAATAACTTTTACAAGTCAAAATTTAAACATTTCTTTTATTGTCATGGAAGTGTATGTATGTGTACACAAAAATCCAAAATTCATAAAACGCCTGAACATAAGCGGTTTGTTTAACAAAATGTAAGCAAAGGTTAAGCAATAGGCTCAAGAAGGTCATCGCATAGCGACGAGTACATGGGTGATGTTTTAAAGCATTTTGCGCAGTAGTTTCTCAAATATAAAACATTCGTGGCGTTAAGAGCATAACACAGCACAAACAATATACAGGTACAAAAGGCCATTACTCAATGGTGTTACTAAAGGAATTTGGTGTAAAAAATTAAAAGGGCAACCTTACCTAAAATGTATATATACAGTTTGATCAGAACGTTATTTCAGGCATTCCTGACAGATGTACATGTATCTGAGCGGAAGGGTGCACATGAAGGACTTACTGAAAGACGGACAATTACCATCAAAAACATAACAATTCTGCTGGTCTAAGAAGGCAAATAATGTTACTACTGAAAGATGTCAACACTCAAAAACGTCATCAGACCAAGCTTTATATCTGATGTGTACTGCCTGACAAAATGTACAGAAAATGTGATGAGCCAGTGAAACAGCGAGAATACTTCGCCAACACGTTAACATGAATAAACATTGCTGGCACGCTAAAAATTTGCAAAAAGAACAACAGACATTCAGTCAAACCCCTACATACAAAAATGTGTTTCATTAGACGTAAGAGATGAAAAGTTCTTCCCGCAACAAACATCTGTTGCAGTCATGTGGCCATCGCTTTTGGTTAAATACATCTCAACATTTGTGCAAGCAACTATTAAGAAGTCAATTTATAATCTGAAATTGTTTGTCTGGCGATGTTACAATGAATTAAGGGGAGTAATTATATATGATATTCATTAAACGAACCTCTTCTTGAATAAGTCTGGTTCATAATCACCTTAAGTTAGTAACCTTATATATGTTAAACAACTGTGGAGAAACCAGTACATGTGCCATTACTAAACATGTTCACAAACACACTCACTAACGGGCATTATAACATAGTAGAGAGCGATCATAGAATACTTATACCATATCCAACCTTCAAACAATTGTATCACATCATTTAAATATACATGTATGTAGAAAACCATATGCACTGTACAGTGTACAATCGATTAAAAATAAATGTTAAGGAGAAACGGCAGATGGGTATTATGGAGACAACGTACTTGATGGCTCTGCTTCGTTCCACGAAACATCTATATAGACAGCCTATATATCGTTTAACAAAAAATTAGTATTTTTGTGCTATTTTACGTCTTGTCCGGAATAAAAATAAAATTAAAAAATAAAAATCTTTCTTTACGTTCTTCCTTTGGAAAAATGACACTTTCCAGTGACGATTTTAATTAATCATTCAGGTAGATAAGTTCTTTTCAGTTTCACCCAAATCAAATTTGGTTTGTTTACTAAGCGTATCCGTGTCCACACCATTAGTTGACGATTATGTACATGAAAGTTACTCCAGTAATAAATTTTGAAGTTCATGTATGTTCTCCAATAGACTAACGAGCATGTTGCAAGATTTTTTAAACTTTCTTTATTGTTTGTTGCGCAAGTACAATTTTAAAAATTGGACCAAATATTATTCATATTTCAGATGCGGTGGTCAACAACTCAAAACTGTTTCGAAGCTTGGTCATATAAGCACTGTATGCTCTATGTCAATGAGAAACCTTTCATTTATAGAATGACACAACGTGTTGTTTTTTATAATATATTATTCAATTAAGGTTAAATAACTCTCATTTCAATTCAATCTTATATTTAGTCTGCAATTAAGGTAGTACAATTCAGTCCTATAACACGAGAAGTAAAGATATATCCATTAGAATAATACAAAGTATCGTTTAAGCTATGTAGTTATGTCCCCTTTGTGTTTCGTGGCTCATTGCAAAAAGCCAACGGGTAAAGCAAACAATATTAGATTACATACCATCTGCCTATAATAATTGCACATGCTTAACCTTACAAGTTAAGATTTACTGTCTCATACACATTCAACTGTAATTTGTTAATCATGTTCCTAACATTATAATAGCATACATTTTCCATTCTTCTTCTTCTTCACTTGTAACGCCGCTCTTGTTGCTGTTTCAAACACCTCCCTAACCCCTTCCTTTGTTTTGGCTGAACATTCTAAATAACTGAAAGCATTGATTTTTTCTGACATTGCTCTTCCTTCTTCCGGTCGTACTGGTTCCTGTTTCATTTTCATGAGCTCTCTTTTCGTACTTTCATCATTGCGGGTATCTTTCTTGTTTCCTACGAGAATAATTGGGACATTCGGACAGAAGTGTTTGACTTCTGGTGTCCACTTCTCTGGTATGTTTTCCAAGCTGTCTGGACTATCTATGGAGAAACACATAAGAATGACGTCTGTATCAGGATAGGACAAAGGTCTCAGTCTATCATAGTCTTCCTGGCCAGCAGTATCCCAAAGTGCCAACTCAACCTGAAAATATGTACATAATACCCAGAATGTGCTTTCTATTGTAATACATAAATGAAACCCTGAACAAGCTGTTTTTATTATATGGCTTGTTTATTCAGCCACCAGTGTAAAGCGTTGTCAAGACTTCACTAATGTGTAAGCTGGTCGGGCTGTTTACTTGGGGCAAAGGTGAAGGCTATTTAGCCGGGTTGTCATGAATGTATTGACACAGGAGTGAATGTCAACCTTCATTGATGATCCACCAGTCACCAATATTATGTTTAATTCTAATTTAAGATCTGATGGTCCAGCTAATGCTTTCACTGAAGTTATATTATAGAATAATTATCACATGTATCAAGTAGAGATCTATTTAAAATATTTAAGAAAATATGTTCGAGCAAGTCTTTTTAATTTTCAGCTTTTGTTAGGGCAAAAGAAATAAACTCTCAACAAGGTGCCATGCAATGATGTACTGGGGACTTAATTTGATTTAAATTTTATCAATGATTTCATTTTAACATTATAAATTTGACCTTTAGCTTTAATTGCATGTAAAATATGCAACATATTGATCAATTATTTAATGCTTTATGAAGGGAAGTAGAACAAGAGGGCCATGATGGCCCCAAGATCCCTCTCCTGTATATAGGTCCCCAGGGCGGGGTCAATTTTAACCCAGGGGCATTTATTTAACAAACTTGGTAGACACTCATTAGAAGATGCTTCATGATAAATATCTATGCTCTAGCTCTTTGGGGTTTCTACAAGAATTTTTTAAAGTTTTTAATAAACACATATAGGGAAAAATAATGACACCCCCCAACCCGGACGGGCCAATTTTGACCCCAGGGCTTTTATTTGAACAAACTTGGACGGACTGATGCCGGACGCAAAGTGATCACAAAAGCTCACCATGTCACTTTGGGACAGGTGAGCTAAAAACTTAACCTGGACACTTAACCACAAATCAATTATAAAGACAGAGTGATCAATGCAAGGTACTTGCTTACAAAATCAATCATATTTGTCAGAAAATATATCCATTTCATCCTCTGTGACTGTGACTTTGACACATGTAATCTTAATCCAAAATTAAATGATTTTGCTTAATATCCACATCTAACATACATTGTAAAATCCTCAAAACACCAATCAGTGTAAAAATTCCCAACATACACAAAATTGTTCTATTCAATTCATATCTTTTCAAAGCATCAATAGCTTTATATGGACCACTCGCTATCAACGATTCATTCTTGGAGATCCAGCTCTTACATAATTGAAGAAAATTTTCGAAGTTCATATGGCCAATTTTAGTGTACAACAGATCAGATAATTTGATTTACCGGTTTGCAACAACATCACAGATCATTTAAGAATCTCAAGATTACTTTAATTCTTCAACATATTCTAGTTCTGGACATGGTAAACATTGTATTTTATCATATTCTAGTCAAATGATTTACTCAACATGTAACTAAAGATTCAATATCCTTAAGCCCCATAGTGGAAAAATTTCATTACATCTCAGAATATCTTCCCAGTGTTGAATGGAAAACAAAGTATTTCCAAGTCAGGTCAAGATCAGTTTTCCATTCTTAATCTTTGTCAAAGCATGTGCTAATCTGAGAATTTCGAAAAGGGATGTACATTTTATTCCTAATCAGAACACCCATTTTATTCCTTATCAATATTCAAATTTATGAACATGTGACAAACTAAAATATAAAATGAAGCAAGGCTTTTCATTTTTTTTTTTAATTTTATTCATTGTACACTTAAGACATTGATTAAAGAAATATATACAGTATAAATTCAAATGAAAACATCTCTCAATTTAAGCAACTGATCCTTCTTTTGCCAATTATTCAAGATCTATATTTTTTCTCCTCTTTAAATTTAAAAATCTTATGTTTATTCCGTATAAGAAGCTAACTCAATATTTGGTAAAGCAATCTAATAAACCTTACCAGAAATCTTTACATCCAATCGAAAATGTATTGATCAAAATATCTTTTTTACAGTTATACTTGAAAATTGATCATACTTATGATGGATTTCAGTGAAAATGAGGAGATTCTCTTTAATATTACAATGTTACTTTACAAGCATAAAAATATAAGAATATTTTGAATCCGGCTGGCCCAGATATTCTTAAAAATTCAACTTCATTTAAAAATATGCTGTCAAATAGCAAGAGACCATGAATACAAAATCTATTCTAGAAAAGTGATAAAAAGTCAAGGTTTCAGTAAAAATACAATTGTGGGAATGTATCAAATGGCGACAACATGAACCTCTACTACAGGAAGTTACTGCACGGGAAACCTACTAAGCTTGCTCACAACTCATATTTGCAAAATTCAACAAACCCTTTTAACTATTTGTCTTTTAGAAATTGGTACATTCCATTCAGACACAATATGTGCATTTAACCTTTTTTTGTGATATAGAGTTGAATCATAACCAGTTTTCCCCATTTACATTATCAATCAATTATATCCCTTAAATAAATTTATGTAAATAAATTATGGTATCACATGCAATGTACCAATCTAGTATTTCAAGTTAAAAATTACAATAGATCTGCATATTAATTCTTTTAAGATATTAAGCAATGTCTTATTTAATTAGCTAGAGGAAAATTGTCTGAAATCCTATACACAAGATTATTTTTCATTACTTCAGCCAATAACATAATACATACCAGAAAATAAGTCTGATTTAAATATGAATATAAATTTGTTTTTTCTGAATAGTTTTGTTCTAACTTAACTTATTACTGTTAAATGTAAGATACAGTTAAATATACAAGCAAATAGATTTAAATGTTACATATTCAATTATGTAGAAATGCAGTAATACATCAAACATACACAAGCAATAGCAATTATTTTTCTAACACAGTAAGTGAATTTAATGATCTTACAAATACCATCCTACTATATACATTTAAAACTTTAGGGCAACACCTGGTAATATATAATAAATCTCACACATATCTCTCACCATGTTTCCAGTAACTTAAATTATCTAACTGGACATGACAATGCAATTTAGAAACAATTAAAAACACAAACCAAATAGAAGACATTGATGAGACTAAGTCACTGATGGAAGCTTCTGCACAATTGCTTTCATAAAAACAATACGCGGTCCAACAGATGTTGTTTACTTTAATTTTATATGCATAAACATTATTTAATAAAAAAAAAAATTATTTTGTATATACATTTACCATCATTTGAGAGAAGTATGCTGCACATAAATAATATAATTTGCTCAGTTCATCAAAGTCGGTATGACCGATGTGAATGTTGTCTTCTAAATACAATTTAATAGGATTATAACATAGATAAACCCTAATATAAATAATAAAACAAAATGATGTCTGACTGCACATCTATCAAAACAAGTAAATGAAATTTACACACACAAATCTATTGGTCCCACAGTTCTTTTTGTGCATATCTATTAACTAGACTAGAAAATATTTTGTCAGTTACAACTAGCTTATTAATAAGGATAACAAGTAGCAAGAAAGCTTTCCTCTATGGAGAGAACCAATCACTGTTTCTTTAAATACAAACTATGATCATTTAACAGATGATTATAAACCTTTTAGTAAGTCTTCACAATATAAAAGTTTTGAAATATTTATCAAAGTCTTACAACATTGCATTACTACATTTGCAATACAAGTCTTCTTATGCCTTGCTGTTTAATTTATAACATTAAAGTAGTTTACATCGTCGTTTCTTCTTCTTCTTTACTTGTAATGCAGCTTTTGTAGCACTTTCAAAAACCTCTCTAACTCCTTCCTTTGTCTTGGCAGAACATTCTAAATAAGCAAAAGCTGAAATACGTTCAGCCATACCTCGGCCCTCCTCAATTTTCACAGGTTCTTGTTTCATTTTAGCAAGTTCACGCCTAGTACCTTCATCTCCTCTCAAATCTTTCTTGTTTCCTACGAGAATAATTGGGACATTCGGACAGAAGTGTTTGACTTCTGGTGTCCACTTCTCCGGTATGTTTTCCAAGCTGTCTGGACTATCTATGGAGAAACACATAAGAATGACGTCTGTATCAGGATAGGACAAAGGTCTCAGTCTATCATAGTCTTCCTGGCCAGCAGTATCCCAAAGTGCCAACTCAACCTGCAGTGAAACAAAAATTTATTCCAGGATAACTATCTACAAAGTCTTCCTTGAACCATAATTTAAAGATACGCCTTCAGTGATTTTTTTCCCTGTATTTTACAGCTGAATAAAGGCTGTTTCCCCTAGCTCAAAATAGGTAAATTTTCCCCCTTAAAAAGCCAATATTTTCCCCTGAAATGCCCTGTGCACTTCTTCACCAGAACCATGACTTAACAGCGTCCGACTTATTATATCAACTAGAAGACAGAAAACTGTCCCTATAGCCTCTGCTTTGTACCATGCATGTTAAATTTAATTGAAATTGAAAATTTTATAAAATGTGTGGGTAAATTCCATTCTCAGTTGTTGGATTTGATTTCCCCTTTTCTGATTTATCGCGCTATATTTTCCCCTTCAAAAAGCCAGAGGTTGTTTTAAAAATTAGAAAAAAAATCACTGGCCTTAATAACCCTTTTAAACTAGTGGCACAACACATTACAACAATGCAGTGCCAAAATGTCATACAGGGTTTGGTGGACTTGAATTTTGTCAACAGACTAAAATACACCAATCAAATTTTCAAGCCTTGTCCTACATGTATATGAGCCGCGTCACGACAAAACCAAAATAATTGGTTTGCAACCAGCATAAATCCAGACCAGCCTGCGCATCCACGCAGTCGGATTTGGATCCACTCTTACAAACCCAATTACAAGTAGAGAAACTGATAGGGAACAGCATGGACCCTGATCAGACTGCGCCGAGGCGCAGGCTGGTCTGGATCCATGCTGGTCGCAAACGCACTATGTTGGTTTTGTCGTGACGCGGCTCATATACTGTATTGTTATTTACCAGATTTACAAATATAATCTATCACAAAAGTAGAACCAACAAGAGCTGTATCATGGACTGTATGCTCAACTATTCTCACAGCTTGATGGTATATTGTAAAAGTGGTAATTTTTGAATTTCAGCAATTTAGTAGGAATTCAGTGGAAATAAAGGCTTCAAGAATATACAGGTATTTGTAAGAGACAGTGAGAGACTAACAATTGATTACTCTCAAGACCTTTAAAATTTCAAGAAAATATGAGCTGCGTCACGACAAAACCAACATAATGCGTTTGCGAACAGCATGGGTCCTGATCAGACTGCGCGGATGCGCAGGCTGGTCTGGATCCATGCTGGTCGCAAACACACTATGTTGGTTTTGTCGTTACGCGGCTCAATTATATTCTATGACTATTGACATTTAAGATAATGAAATAGCAGTGAAATTTTGTGGATCAAGACAACGTTTATGTCTGACGGACTGGTCCACATTTCTTTGACCCGATTTTGTTATAATTGTTCTAAGTTCATAGATCAGAATGTCATGAAAGTTTGTTATGCTTGAAGAGATTCAGTTATATACTCAACATGTGCTGACAAAATTCTTATTAGTAAATTTATTCCAATGCATGCCCATTTAACATGCATCTATGTGAATTCAATTAAAATTATGCATTATTTTAATGACTTTTTTAAGTATATTTAGTCTTCATGACTATACTTATAGGAGCGACAAAATTAATTGCCAAGCTTGTCCCAAAACCCTATGGACAAGTGAAATTTTCCCAGAAATAATACTGAAATTACTTAATCACTTAAATATCAGACAAGAGAAGACATGCAAGTAAGACAAGCAAGTCAAATTCAGATTTTGCTGATCCTCACTCACAAAAGTCAAAAGAACAGTTGTGAATATTACAAGACCATATCTGACTATATATTTAATTAGTGGAAACTTTTAAAACATTTTTCATAATCACATAATGGTTGTGACTAAAAACTTTCCTTGAATTTCCCAATAAAGGTTTTTAACAAAGAGGCAGTGTTTTATCAAAGAAATTATTTTCAAAATATTTCATCACAATATCTTTTGATGCAGTTAAATCTTGCATCATGCATTTTAATTAAGTACTGAGCTCAGTTAAGTAAATGTATTTCCAGTATACTGAAGGCGAGCAGATTTGTAATTTCAAGAAAGCTTTAAGTCTTTTCTTAATTTGGCTGTACTTGTTTGGTAAAGTTGTAAACAATCAACAAGGAACATCGCAATGCGATGCAACCAGGTTTTCAGCAAAATATTTCACAGAAGCTTTGTCATGAAGGGGCATTTGTTTTTAATTGAACTTTTAGGAGGAATTATGGCTTTTTTAATATTCCTCAAACAAAAATGATTGAGAAATTTTATGTTGTCTATTCGCCTTTTTTTTCCCAAATGTTTTAGAAAGGTAAACAGTACTTTATTTTTGCTTAATTTTTGCATTTTTGCGTCTCTTGTCATTTTCTTTTGTCAACAATATTGGCGTGTGGTGTTTTGTGCGATATCAAGAAAAGTATGTTCACAATTTTAAAAAAATACTTGAATGATGTCTTGGAAGAAACATGGGAATTTAGTGAGCGCCAGGGCACTTGATGACAAAGCTTCTGTGAAAGTTTGGTCAAAATCCATTGAGAAATGTAGGAGAAGTTGCGCACTGTAGAAATTGTTCACTATATATTCTGTATAAGGAAAAAATATACAAAGGGCCATAATTCGGTCAAATATTATCCAATCACAAAACCCCGACAATATGTGCCAGGCACTTGATGACAAAGCTTCTGTGAAAGTTTGGTCAAAATCCATTGAGAAATGTAGGAGAAGTTGCGCACTGTAGAAATTGTTCACTATATATTCTGTATAAGGAAAAAATATACAAAGGGCCATAATTCGGTCAAATATTATCCAATCACAAAACCCCGACAATATGTGCCAGGCACTTGATAACAAAGCTTCTAAGAAAGTTTGGTCAAAATCCGTTGAGAAATGTAGGAGGAGTTGAGCACAGAAGAAATTGTTCTCTATATATTCTGTATAAGGAAAAAAAACAAAGGGCCATAATTAGGTCAAATATATACCAATTGCAAAACCCTGGCAATATGTGTCAGGGCACTTGATGACAAAGCTTCTGAGAAAGTTTGGTCAAAATCCGTTGAGAAATGTAGGAGGAGTTGCGCACAGAAGAAATTGTTCACTATATATTTTATATAAGGAAAAAAACAAAGGGCCATAATTAGGTCAAATATTATCTAATCGCAAAACCCCGACAATATGCGCCAGGGCACTTGATGACAAAGCTTCTGTGAAAGTTTGGTCAAAATCCGTTGAGAAATGTAGGAGGAGTTGCGCACAGAAGAAATTGTTTACGCCCGCCGCCCGCCCGTCCGCCCGCCGACATACCTCAATCTAATAACCAGTTTTTTCCTTCGGAAAACCTGGTTAATAATGTTGGTGAAATCAGGTGACAAGTTTTACATGGTAAAGTTGTAAACAATCAATAATGATGGTGAAATCAGGTGACAAGTTTTACAATCTTTTTTAAAAAAGATTTAAGTGAATCTTTATTCTAGGTTCTCCCGTATAAGGCTAGTTAGATTTTAATTATGCAGTATTTAATCCATACAGAAGCAAACAGTTTATAAGTGTTCCTGGATTTTATACCAGTACTTACCTGCCTTTACTGCAAGCAACTGCCAACTTTTCCATGTAGTTCATTTAAAATTGAGTTGGATGACAAACAGAATCAGAAACCGATGCAAATCATCATGGAACAGTATAAGCTGCAGCACGGGCCAGAGGATTAACTCAGTAGTCAGAGTATAAACAGTAACCTACTGTCCAGATCTAGAACCCATTATAAAATTTTTTGACAAAAAGCTGGTGTTAACAACAATGTAATCATCATAAGACAGTGGAAGCATCCATTACTGTTGTTGTTTACATTGTAATTTACAGATTTTGGAAATGAATTTTCAGTGTAATTTTGTGAATTTAAAAGTCTGAAAATGGGAAATTTGCTGCTTTATTTTCATTATGAACTGCACTGTTTTCCGGTACTAGTTATACAAGGGAAAAACCACTGTCTAATTACTCATTCAAACTATATTTAATAATAAACCATTTCTTTTAATGAGTTCTTCGGCGTAGCTACTTGAACTGTGGAGGCTTAACTTTGAAAACAAGATTCAGTCCTTTGGTCATGCTTGAATGTGAGTGAATGCAGGATTACGGTGTTCAATGTGTTTTTTCTAATGGCATTTATTATGTTAATAGCTAATTAACAAAATATCACAAACAAAAATTGTAAATTAACTATGGCACATACTTGAACATAAGTTGCAAACTTGGACAAAACTAAGATGTTAATTCAATACATGCAATATCAAATGTTTCAGAATTTATATAAAAAATGAATATTCCAGCAAAAACATCAGAGTTCTTTACCTGTTTTGAAAAGAATTTGAAGAAATATAAACAATTAGAAATTTACATTAAAAAGTTTTAAAATAAAAGGAGTGCACAATATGAGGTGTTAATGCTCTACATCAAAAACTCGAAGTTAAAAAGAGGCATTACTCAAAAATATTGCTTTCTGAATAATTCCTCTTGTCTAACAACTGCACCTTGTCATATGATAAGCAAGTATTCATGTTAATAACTTTCAAAATGTTTGAATAATGGGCTACATTAAAAACATAGGACTATGGTGCAGCAATCATAAACGCTCCACTTTTTCTTCGCAACAGATGAGCTAAAAATGAACATTTCTAATATCTTCAACAAAATGAAATTATGACCTTTAAACTATGTTTCTATATAGCATATGACATAATTCATAATAATTAATATATTCATTAATAATATTGTTTCAAGTTGAGACAACTCTAAAACATATTGGGAAAAAAAAAGAGGAGAAATGGTTTTACAAAATTTATTATGTATCGACTAAAAAACAGGCATTTGAAAATTTAATATTTTTCAATTCATTATAATTGTACTGTCATTGCAATCAAAATTTATTAGCAGGCTTCTACAAGTTCTCACTCTTTGAAAGACAGACATTTCATTACATTAATGAATCAAATTTCTACTTTCAGTGTTGTATAATCTACATTTTTTATTGTAAATATGACAATGGACAGACAGACAGATGAAGAGACAACACCAAAACAACATCGCACAGCTCTTTAGGCAGATAGTTTTTCCCTCATGCTTTTAACTTCTCATATATAATGAAACAATATAATTTTGGATTTGAATTTTACTGCAAACCCATGTCAAGAATGGTGCAGCTTAATGAGAACATTCATAAAACATGCAATTAATGAAAATCACTTAATGGCAAGCATAAAAATTGTTTACAATGAAAAAATACAAGAACTACTTGAAACAGAAACAAGCACTAGGAGAAACTAATAAACATCACAGCAGGGTCCATGCTGAAATTTGTAATAAAACTCACCAAATGGCAGAAACTATTGAAAAACTGCTTCACACGAATAAAAAACAACGCGACTTGAAGCGTCGTACACTGCATATTGAAAAAAGTGAGGAAAGAACAATATTGCAAACTGAAACTGGATTCAGACAAAGTTGACAAAGATCAGTGCTACAAAAATGATCTTTTAAGAAAATCCTGAAATTCTAAACAAATATCCAAAATAATCCTCAACAGAGGTTCACAATGACAAGCAAAGCTTCCATAACAAAGAAAGGCACAACTATTTTGATATAACCACCACTTGACCCTTTACAAGACGGACCTATTTAGATTACCACACCAGAAATTTGCATGGAATTAATTCTTTTTTTTTAAACAAAATAAACATTTACTTGCACCAGGATTGCACCAGCAACCCATGAATGACAAATCTGATGCTCTCATATTGAACTAAGCAGGATTTGTAAATTTGCAAAGCAAAAGTTATCAGACAGCACGCAAGTAATGTATCTGAAACTTGGGTAGAATTCATAAGGGAACTCATAAGGAGTTAGTGTTACAAGTGTAATTCTGCTCTCTCTTTCAAATTTTAATCTCTTCATGATAAAAAATAAATGCCCTAACTTTTGTTGTACAAAATTAATAACATAATTGAAATTAACTGCATTAGTAGACATATATATTGGTGAAGGTCTATTTAATACTTGCACAAGTTTTTGTATGTTCACAGACTCTTGGTTTAATTGAGTTACAGTCTCGTAACATCAATTCTTTATAACAAGATGTGTGCCAGCCAAATATTACATACCAAATAAGTTAAAAACGATCAGTACATTAGTTTATGATAAATTCAAATTCTCTGTTTTAAACTTGAGTGACCCTTGAAAAATACAATGTTCCCTATGTCAACAAACTTGGGAGGATGCTAAGGAGATAATCAGAGAATATAAATTGGATAAGCCAATGAAGAGTACTTATTTGTCCAAAATAAAACTTGTTAAAAAACAAATAAATGTGATGAAGCAGTGATGTGGTCTTCAAAGCACTACACTTTCTTTACAAACAAAATTTCATTTGCACAAGCCAGTTTCAATTGGTAAAGAACTTTAAACCACCGGCAGATTAGGTCAGATATTCTTTTTGAAATTTAAGAGGACCACAACGGCCGATTTTGAACCAAACAACTTATGACTTTGTTGTAACGACTTGAGATGTGCAGAATATCACCTCTAAAAAACACTAATGACCATCACCCTGTAGTGAATTCAAATGATGTATTCTTACCATATATATAAGGTTTTTAATTGATTGTAAGAGCATCAAAGAGGATGCTCAAAATTAATAACTTCAACTAAATCATACCTGTTTTCCATCAACTTCAATATCTGCTACATAGTTTTCGAACACAGTGGGTACATAGACTTCTGGAAATTGGTCTTTGCTGAACACTATAAGAAGGCATGTTTTACCACAAGCACCATCACCAACTATCACTAACTTTTTACGAATAGCAGCCATTGGTCTTCAATATTCTGAAATATTAAGAAAAAATATTTCAAAACTATTGTAAATTTTTCAACCTGAAACAGTCAAATTTCTATAAGTTTATGTGCTTCTCATAAGCTTGATTGTCATTTGAAAAAAATAAAAGTATTATGACACCACATTAACTTATATTTCATGTAAAGTTAAAGAAATCTTTTATACCTAGAATTATTTTGAAGCTGAGAAAATCTCTATAAGTATAACTTAGCAGAATCAATTTAAATGAAGTTCACCTCATGTCAATGTAAGCTACATATTGATAAGTATCAAAATGTTTGAAAAATGGATGTATACAATGACAAAATAATAACTGGATTATTTCTTCCGAAAAGACAAGCTAAAAACTAAATTCCCATGTTGTTGACTGTTTATTAAATTTAGGCAGATGAAACTTCCCTTTGTATCACTGTTCTCTGTAATATTTGTCACCTATACTTTTATGTATACCTTTGACTGAATCTATGAAAGCACTTCTTTACAGTGCCCTTGTTTACACACTTTTTGTGTAATATCTCCAGGTGACCCGGATTCAAAGCATTACTGTTGGTCTGATACACTTTTTATTCTAATAATTCATGCAATCTATGTTGAAGCAATGGTATTCGAAGCAATTTGGCAGATCTATACATAACATTTTAATTTCATTTTGATAGTTTTACAGCATCTGATCAATGCATGTTTAAAATAGGATCAGTATTCGCACGCAATACTGGTACTTAAAACTAACGTATTCGCTACATGTGAATTCAAAAAATAAAAACGATCGAAAAGAACGCATCTGGACGAGGAAGTTACAACTAATTTCAGAATTAAAAAATGTCTAGATCTACGAACGATGACGTCATGTGTCAAGAATGGCGGAGTTGGTCAGTAAAGTTACAAATATCCGAAAAACCGATACTTTCAAGTCGGTAAGTCTACAGATTTTGTACCCAAACAATAAAGTACACTTGAAAAGCCAAAAGAAATTATACCGTAAGACGTTTAGAACTTAAATCGTCCAGTTTCGATACACATTTTTCGAGAAGCTTGCCGACTAGGTCGTTCAAATTTTGGAACATTCTAGTTGTATAAATGATTCAATAGAAATCTTCTTTATAACCTGCTTTAGAAAAATCTTAAAATATAAAGTTTACCTGTGTAAATCTCTAAACAAGCGTTACAAAACGCTTACTTTTGTGGATTTGTTTATCATCAATTTTAACCACACCTCATTACTAAGACTAGCGGGGTATGAGTAATTGCTCGCACGACGAGGTATTGCTGGCTTATGGGATTGTAACATTAGCTTCCGGCAGAAACGAAAGTTAAAAAATATTGTTATTCTTTAATGTCCCCCTAACTTAGAAATAAAACCTAACATACCTTACAAATTCATTCAATTTTAATCACCCTTGATCAAGAATTTTAGGCACATCTGCTTTAAATACAAGAAATATAAATGTTTCTTCTAAAATTAGATTCTGCGAACGCAATCTAAAAATAAACGAAAATTGTTTGTTCTCATTGGTCAGAAACAGTTGCTAAAAATAACTTTAGCTTTAGCTCTTGAAACCCGAAAGAAATTAAATAAGAGAAAAGATTGCCTCTTGCTCGTATTTAGCGAACTGTCCAAAAACAGCCATGCGGAGACAGAGAGTTGATGAAAATAAAAATAAGAAACTAAAGGCCTCAACAGACGGTAGGATTTAGCTGTACAGTACTAATCAGAGATAAGATGTACAATTTTCAAAGCAATACAACACTTGCATTCAGACGGTAATTCTACACTGTAGGAATCATGTAGGAGGTTTCCCTAAAAAAGGATCCCTTTACATACTTTACTCACTAAATACTTTTTTTTTGCCATGAGTAATGATTAACACCTCCATTAAAAAATATTAATGTGAAGCCTGATCGAGACTCAAACCTGGGACCCTCGGAATACCGTACTGCGGCTCTACTGACTAAGCTATCCGGCCGCCTACAGACTACCTCCCCTCCCCTAATTAGAGAACAGTTCAATACCGTGACATAATCATTTTCGGAATAATTTGGGATTTAAACATAACACAACTTTGGGTCTCCTGAAGAGTTTTTCAACATCATTTTTACCCCATGTTTACCTTTTAGCCCTAATTGTTCTGGAATTTCATTCATTAATTACAACCATTATCATGCAGTAGATAGATTGGTAATCTGTTTCTTGTCATTGTGGGAGGTCTGTAGAAATCTGTACGACAAGATTTTCAAAATAGAACATGTCCTATCCCTTACATCTAGACTTAAGGTTTCCGAATTCAAGAAAAAGTAGCCTTTACACATTAAGATTTGCCTGTACATCTTAGTTTAAATTGGTGTTGTACTTCAAAATCCTACCGTCTGTTAAGGCTTTAAATAACGGTTTTATTCATCAACTACATGATACTATAACGACTACACTAAGCATTTATGTTCAGTATTGAATTACACTTTGTCATGAAATATGAAAAGAAAAGAATCTTAAAAAGACATTTCTTTAGAAATCTTTATATGAACATGTAAACAAGTTAATGAAACTAACGATCATCTTCTTCAGTAATCGCCTCACTCTTCATAGAGCATATAGTAATGATGTTTATGAGTTTATACGCCTAGTTTTTATTTTGAGTTCAATTTATGTATATGTTATACTTTAACATGTTTACGTAGCCTACCATTATTAACATTTTTACTTACCATATCAGAGTTTGAAAAAGTTCAGGCATGTAAGATGTATGCTGAAATTCTAAATAAGCATCTAAACTATTCTACAAAATTAGCTTTACCTCTTTAATAATGAAGGATCAGAATGTATCAATATTTAAAGAAGCATTTAATTTTTTATTTTATGTAATCTATTCTTTGATTTATTCAACATTTTGTCTTCAAAATTTTGAGAGGTGAATGTCCGGGGTTGAATTGTAATAGCCAAATCAAATTGTTGAAAGTTAAGCAAGTTCTAATAATTATCACATATTTCTGAATGGAGATTATATCAATGGATGTCAAGATGTGAAAGATATAACACAATATCCTGGAGATCATGCTTAAAAATGTTTTGAATTGATATGTTTATCTGTCAAGAAAAGTGTCTATAAAGTCCAATGCCCTTTTTCACCTTCCTTGTTAGATATTAAGAATGTGGAGTAGTGATTATTGGATAAACACGTGTAATTATAATAAAGATCTCGAGTGATAAGTCAGTCGACTCCATTCATTTGTTTTAAAAGTGAGTAAAGTGGTTAGATATGTCCATATACTGTCTTTAATACATAATGAATAAATAAACAAACAAACAAACACAACTGCTAGACAATCACATTTCCTGTTTAATTTTAAATTTAATAAGGAACATTTAATATCATATTTACATGAAAAAAATATTCAGCCTTCAAATAGAGAATGACAGCTCAGAGCTGGTTAAGATAAAATTAAATCTGTGTTAATCTAAAAAAGTCCTTTACAACTTGACAACTTTAGACACAGCTAGGGCTCGGATAAATGAATTACGAACGTAGTTATATATTTCTAATAAATTGATCATTAATTAACTTACCCAATTTTTCAAACATCTGAAAGTTCCATTATTGATGCAAGTACAATGGGACGGTTCTCTCTCCAAATAGGGGAGAACAATCGTGGTGGATATGTCAGGGGAACAACTTCTTGAGTTAGGGCAAATTGGTCTTACCATATATGCTTTGCCCATTGCTGGCTAATGTCTCTTTCTTACAATATTAAGGTAGTAGGGAACATTGAAATAGGACCTGTTCAATATCTGGACAAATAAAATAAGGGATGTGTTGCATATTCATTTAAAATATTTATTTTGGTATTTTTTGTAATTTTATACTCTCTATATAATTGGAAAAAGGTAACTTTACTGACAAATAAGGGATGTGTTGCATATTCATTTAAAATATTTATTTTGATATTTTTTGTAATTTTATACTCTCTATATAATTGGAAAAAGGTAACTTTACTGACACTGTATACCTTCAATTCTGTACTGGGACTTTCACCATTATATGAAATTAATTAACACCAATGTTATTTGAATAAATAAATTAAAAAAAAACATTTAAAAACCTTAATGGTATATCAAATAATCAAAGAGCTGCAATATTGATGTTGTAAAGGATTGTGTGCCGGCGAAATGGACATTTTGTCTGCGCAACGGAGATTTTTTTTTTGGCGCAACGGAATTTAAAAAGAAAACTGTTTGTCCGCATTAAGTAGTAATATGAAGAAGTAAATCATTAAAGATATTAACTGAATTACTGAAGTGGTGTAATAAATGTCTGTTTTATTCATTTAAAAATAGAATTAAATACGTTTTATCGTTATCACTGACACTGGAAGACAAGTATAGATTTTACTATCTGTTTCATTTTTTCCCCGTTCAATTCGTTATTTTTACGAAAAGTACTGTAATAGCTTTTCTATACATAATTTTTAATTGAATTTGCATTAGTATATACTAAATAAAGTAATATGTTGATATTACAGAAACAATGTTCAGTATTTTTTTTTATTATAAACATTCATTGTTTTTTTGTTTTATACCTTTCATAAACTCCGTTGCGCCGATGGATTATTGCGAAACGGAGATTTTATTTTTCAAAAACTGTGTACTGTTTTTATGTCTAAAACAAAAAAATAATCATATAAGTTGGTATTGTTTGATATTTTATAAAATATTTTTTTTACATATACTGTATAAGTTTTGATTTTATTAGGTAGAATACTGAATATATCAGATTCTAAATGGACGGCGAAATGGACATAATTTCGGCGCAATGGAAAATGAAGATTTGCATAACGAGTAGTTCTTATGTTTGAAACATAACTAAAAGAATTTGAGAATAATAAAGTAACAGTCTTTTTTTTAAATGATTTACTTTCCTTTATTTTAGAAAATGTTTTGAAAATAGGATATTGTAAAAAGATATTTTAAATTACGGCGAAATGGACACATTTCGGCACAACGGGGATTATCATAACAGTTTTATCATATTATAATTATTTTATTTTATTATTTTATTATCTTTCATTAATCATTGTGTACCTTCGACAATAATAAGTTATAAAAAATATTTAATACCTTAAAGTCAATACATGTTCCTGTTAATCACATTATCTAAATGGTGTGAAAACGCTTGTACAATAAACATCAACCACGTGTCATTGGTAATTTAATTATCGGTACTTAACACCCGTGATAAACATTCTGCCAATCACCAAATTGCTGTTGTTTCGCTAAATAAACAGTAGCTGCATTTGTTTAAAGGGGTTTTCTGATTGGGAAGGAATTGTTATAAGTAACGTACAATTTAATTATTTTATGTTTTAAAATGGAAAGTCTAAGCAAATTCTACATGCATGTCGTTTGACTATTTTAATAACTACATCAAACAATAAATATTTTGTATAGTTACTATTTTTAATTTTAAAAATGCATAAAATATTACAATCATTCGAATATCAGCCATGGCGGAAATAATCGTATTTCTTTGTGCAGCAGTAAAGCCATTAATTAACGTTTTGTTGAAATTTGGTAATTTATTGTTAAGGTTACATTAGAAAGTCAACAGCGTATGCTTTACGGACTTTTCGTATTCTTCAAGTAAAATTCTGAAAATTATGTATAGAAAAGCTATTACAGTACTTTTATACATGTCTTTCAGTGTCAGCCATAACGATAATTTAACCGTATTTAATTCCATTTCTAAATTAATAAAACAGACAATCCTTACAACACTTCAGTAATTCAGTTAATATCTTTAATGATTTACTTCTTCATATTACTACTTAATTCGGACAAACATTGATTCCGTTGAGCCAAAAAAAAAAAAAAAAAAAAAAAAATCTCCGTTGCGCAGACAAAATGTCCATTTCGCCGGCACACAATCCTTTACAACATCAACATTGCAGCTCTTTGATTATTTGATATACGAATAAGGTTTTTAAATCTTTTTTTTTAAATTTATTTATTCAAATAACATTGGTGTTAATTAATTTCATATAATAGTACAATAGTACAAACGTTGTGCCGATTTTCCCAAATTATCTCCGTTGCGCCATGAAATTTCCATTTCGCCAGGCATATTATAATCCTTCAGTGTATACATATACAATTTATGAAACCTTTGAAATCATACTTACTTTATAGTGCTAAACAATCATTTTAGATGCTCAAATACAGCATATTGACTTTTTAAAAAAAAGGCGTTGTGTCGGTTTTTCGGAGAAAAATATCTCCGTTGCGCCATTAAATTTCCTTTTCGCCAGGCATATGACCCTTCAGTGCAATTAAACATACACAATTTATGAAATATTTTATAACTTACTTACTAAATAGTTATAAACAATCAATTTAGATGCTTAAATAAAGCACATTGACTTTAAAAAAAGGCGTTGTGCCGGTTTTTCTAAAAAAATTATCTCCGTTGCGTCCGTTGAGCCAAAAAATCTCCGTTGCGTAATTTAGTGGTACCCTAAGTTAGTTACATTACACCACGGATTTATATTACATTAGAATTATATGGAACGCCTGGACTGTCTTATGTGTAGAATGACTGATATACATGGTTAAATGTCATTCTATTGTCTCCGAGATACAATATGCTGGGTCAAAATCCCAATATACTGGATGGAAATCCAAATGCGCTCAGTTATTAAAGTGTAATGTTGTGTGCTGATTACATTTTATTCAGTCAAGTCAATGTATTGTCGGGTGCACTAGTCGTTCTGTTCAGTTCTTAAAACAAACAGGCATGTGGTAACACAATTATGTTAAGTTAAAAAGATATGTTGTAGGGTGTGACAGTTATTATGTTCGGTTAAAATAGCTCTTCTCATCATGTTCAACCATGAAAATAAACAGTTGAGTGGTACTATCATTTCGTTTGGCTGCGGCAGTGTATTATTGGGTGATACTTTTATTATTTTCAGTTGCAATGACATGCTGTTGGGTGCTTAATTCCTTCTGTTCAGTCGTGAAATAGAACTGTTGAATAGTACTATCATTATGTTCAGTTCAGATGATATACTGTTCGGTGCAGAGGTCATTCTGTTCAGTTCAGATGATGTACTGTTCGGTGCAGAGGTCATTATGTTCAGTAGAGAACACAAAATGTTGTGTGATACCGTTATTATGCTCAGTTCAGATGATATACTGTTTGGTGCTGAAGTCATTATGTTCAGTAGTGAACACAAAATGTTGTGTGATACCGTCATTATGTTCAGTTCAGATGATATCCTGTTTGGTGCAAAGGTCATTATGTTCAGTTGTGAACACAAACTGTTGTGTGATACCGTCATTATGTTCAGTTCAGATGATATACTGTTCGGTGCAGATGTCATTATGTTCAGTAGTGAACACAAACTGTTGTGTGATACCGTCATTATGTTTAGTTCAGATGATATACTGTTCGGTGCAGATGTCATTATGTTCAGTAGTGAACACAAACTGTTGTGTGATACCGTCATTATGTTCAGTTCAGATGATATACTGTTCGGTGCAGATGTCATTATGTTCAGTAGTGAACACAAACTGTTGTGTGATACCGTCATTATGTTTAGTTCAGATGATATACTGTTCGGTGCAGATGTCATTATGTTCAGTAGTGAACACAAACTGTTGTGTGATACCGTCATTATGTTTAGTTCAGATGATATACTGTTCGGTGCAGATGTCATTATGTTCAGTAGTGAACACAAACTGTTGTGTGATACCGTCATTATGTTTAGTTCAGATGATATACTGTTCGGTGCAGATGTCATTATGTTCAGTAGTGAACACAAACTGTTGTGTGATACTATCATTATGTTTAGTTCAGATGATATCCTGTTCGGTGCAGAGGTCATTATGTTCAGTAGTGAACACAAACTGTGGTGTGATACCGTCATTATGTTCAGTTCAGATGATATACTGTTCGGTGCACAAGCCATTTGACAATGCGCTGAGTGGTCATACAATTATGTTGGGTTCATTCGGATATCTTCGCGTCAAACAAGATGGCGGGCGGGAGCAACTAATTTCCATAGGTCACGTCGAGGCTAATGACCACTAAATTGCCAAAACAATTTTCTTCCCCGTAAATACCATCGGGAGCTTAAGAACGTTATTTCAATAAATTGGACAGATCGTATGGCATATTTAATACCCATTGGGTATTTTATCAAGTTAATTTATGACTTTACTATACTGTTACAGTCATAATGGGCACAGTATAAAAAACTTAAAATATGGGTAAGGGTAGCCTGTTCAAGTCACACATGACCACCGTAAATAAAACTTAAAATATATGTGTTGGTAACTCTTTAGACTCACAAGTGGACACATCAAACGAAATTTAAAATATGAAACATAATATACAAGTAAGGCAAACCTATTTGAGTCACACATGGCCACAGTTTATGGAACGTTAAATATAAGTATGGAAACCCCATTTGAGACACACATGACCACAGTAAATGGAACATTATATATAAGTAAGGGTAGCCTAATAAAGTCAAACATGGCCAAAGTATAAAGAAAATTCTTTATAAGTAAGTGAAACCTAATTGAGTCACACATGGCCACAATATATTAGACATACTGTTTAACTCAGGGAAATGTATTTGAGTCTAATTTTATTAGGCTACCCTTACTTATCTTACTTATATATAATGTTCCATATATTTTAGTCATGTGTGACTCAAATAGATTTCCCTTACTTAAACATAATGTTCCATATATTTTGGCCTAGTGTGACTCAATTAGGTTTCCCTTACTTATATAGAATGTTCTTCATAATGGGGGTATGTGTGACTTTATTGCGCTACCCTTACTTATATTTAATGTTCCATATACTGTGGCCATGTGTGACTCAAATAGGTACGTTTCCCTTACTTAAATATTATGTTCCATTTATTGTGGTTATGTGTGACTCAAATGGGTTACCAACACATATATTTTAAGTTGCATATGCTGTGGCCATATGTGACTTTAATAGGCTACCCTTACTTATATGCTCCATATACTGTGGCCATGTGTGACTCAAATAGGGTTCCCTTACTTGTATATGATGTTTTATATTTTAAATTTCGTTTGCTGTGTCCATTTGTGACTCTTATAGGTTACCAAACAGATACATTTTAAGTTTTATTTACGGTGGTCATGTGTGACTTTAACAGGCTACCCTTATCCATATTTAAGTTTTATACTGTACCCATTGTAGCATGATGAGTAAACTGTAACATGATACTCTAGGTGCGTACAGCTCCTTTATAATAGAGAGTTCCCTAGATCTTAGATATACTACCATCACGGACACTGATATGTAAACACATGTATCATATAATATAGTTTAGATAATAAACGTAGTTAGAGCACATATATATTTATGTCGTTCATAAACCCATGACGTAACATGGTGTCAGTAACACCCATTATGACTGTAACAGTAAAGCATAGTCATGAATTAACTAAATAAAATACCCATTGGGTATTTAAAAGACCAATTTATGAAAATAACGTTCTTAAGCCCCCGATGATATTTACAGGGAAAAAAATTGTTTTGGCAATTTAGTGGTCATTAGCCTCGACGTGACCTATGGAAATTAGTCGCTCCGATCTTGTTGCCCGAAAATATCCGAATGAACCAAACATAATTGTGGTATCACACAACAGTTCGTGTTCACTATTGAACATAATGACCTCTGCACCGAACAGTTTATCATCTGAACTGAACATAATGATAGTACCAAAAAACAACTGAACATAACGACCTTTGAACCGAACAATACATTGACTTGACTGAAGAAGATGATATCAGCACACAAGATAATAATAGTACCATTTAAGATAATGATTGTATTATTTAACAGTTCTATTTCACGACTGAACAGAAGGAATAAAGCACCCAACAGCATGTCATTGCAACTGAAAATAATAAAAGTATCACCCAATAATACACTGCCTAAGCCAAACAAAATGATAGTACCACTCAACTGTTTATTTTCATGGTTGAACATGATGAGAAGAGCACCAAACAGCATATTATTATAACCGAACATAATAACTGCAACACCCTACAACATATCTTTTTAACTCAACATAATTGTGTTACTACATGCCTGTATGTTTTAAGAACTGAACATAACGACTTATGCACCCGATAATACATTGACTTGACTGAATAAAATACAGTCAGCACATAACATCACACTTCAATAACTGAGCACATTAGGATTTCCACCCAGCATTTTGTATCTCGGACTCAACAGAAAGACATTTAACCAGGTATATCATTCATTCTTAACATAAGACAGTCCAGGCGTTCCATAGAATTACATTACACTAGAATTCTCTTGAAAACTGATTACAGAAATATCTTTTCTAATTGTCATTAAATAAAATGTATATGAGCCTAGGAGCTACATTAATGTCATTTTTATTGGTTACAAGTTTTTCGTATTCAATGAAATGTATTCATAAACGAAAATTAATTATTTCCGTTACTTAAACGTAAAGATGATTCTTTCGGTGGATTTCGGTAGATTAAACTAACGTGCTCACCGGCTGGAATTTACTAAATTAATTTATGAATGACCTGGATGGGATGTCTGCTATTTTGGCAAAAACAATTATGGACAGACAGTCGTTCGTTTTCACTAATAGTTAGCTTAGACTCAGTCATTTAAAGGACTTTACTCGTTTGATAGTTTATTTACTGCTTAAACATGAACATCGCAAAGTTTTGTTGTTATTTCATGTGAAATCAACACTGTTTACAGATTCAGGTTGTTTCGTGGATTGGATGCTGAGATTGTCGAATTACTAAAGATGATTTACAACGGAAACTATTTATATCTTATAAGATCTTCAGTCAGTTGTCTTTAATTTTTCAGTTTCTCAAAGTAAACCAGCAATATGTTTAAAAGGAAGAAAAAATCCCCAAGTGCTAAAGATATCAGTGCAATGACAAAAAAGTCTGAGAAAACAAGTGTTTCTTCGCAGAGTTATTCATCATTGCCAAAAAGTATGTACTCAGGTAGTGATAAGCGACCTGTTACTGGCAGTACACCATCAAGATCTGGTTCTGAATCATTTAATTTGACCTATTCTACAAGTTCATCAAGTTCCCAAGATATGAAATTAGGCAGTCCACAAAGTCCTCTAGATTTGCCTATGGAGACGTTGCAATCTATAAGTGCAGCATATAACTTTGGCCAAGGTTTAAATAATGATAAAAGTACAAGTGATAAGTTGCAGGGCAGGAGCCCATACCAAAGCCCAGTGCATTCTTCCTATTCTTCTAGTCCAGCAAGTAATAAGCCTACCACACGACACCGGTCTTTAGAGAAAAGTGAGTTTTCAGGATTATTTTCTGCAGACTCTTCTTTGGAGCGGCAATTTGAAAGATTACAGATGTTATTGCCGTCATCTGACCAGCGCCATTCTGAAGTAAACACTTTTAATACAATGCCAGTGTCCAAAGGAGAGCGTAGGAATGCATCTTTGAATTACACCAGAGAACGATCGCAGGAAAGAGAACAATATCCTCACATGGGAGCCAGATCTTTGGAAAGAGATCATGTATACCATGTTAATAATAGATCTAGATCAACTGAAAGACCTGATTTCACCTCACAATTACAGCAGACTCAGGAGCAATTTCGAAATGTTAGTCGTGATTCCTTGATATTAGAGCTGCAGTCACAAATTACTGAATTAAATAAAGACTGTGCAAAAATGCAGCAAGATTTAGACTCAACCAAAGATAAATTAAGTTCAACTATGAATAGTATTAAAACATTTTGGAGTCCAGAATTGAAGAAGGAAAGATCATTAAGGAAAGAGGAGAGTGCTAAGTACAGTCTTTTGAATGAACAATACAAGGCATCTCATGCTGAATTAAAGGTATACATCTAATTATTTTGACACATTTCTGTTCAGTTTATATATATGTAAATCATTAAATGTTTGGCTATCCATGTAAATATTTTGAAAACCTGATATTAACTCAGAGCCATGAAGCTGTTTTTTTTCCGCCACTATTCTATATTAGGTACAAACCATTGACTTGGGTACATAATGTAACTTAAGGGCTTACATGTGGGTACATAATGTAACTTAAGGGCTTACATGTTCAGGAAACTCTCAATTTGATTTAGTATTTAATTTTGTTAGAAATGGGTGTGGGATGTAGATGAAAGAACATATATTCATCATTGAATTTTACATTAATAAAAATTGGTGTCAAAAGGTGGCTTAAGTTGATCCTGACCAGGGCTTGAACCCTGGACTCTCAGAAAAATGTTCTGCAGCTTTACCAGAGCTAATGAGTAAGGTTTGCATCAGCAAATTTGTGCCTGCTATTCTAACTCAAGAAACTTTGGTCAAGTGGTTATAAATCTTATTGAGTTAACCTGCAAAACTCATTTTTCAGGCTCCCTGTTTAAAGGTATATAGGTCACAAGTAAAACTTTAAAGCCAGCATTTACTGGTCAGCTCTTGAACCATTTGAGATACATTCATAAAACTTTGGTCAAATGTTTAATATAGGGTAAATGCACCTTTTTTAATGCATTAACATATATGCATGAGCATGAGATAGCATTTAAAACCCAAGTCCATAGGGCAAGGGATTTAATGAGTCTGAGGGCTTCTGTAGATGTTAATGCATGAAAAAAACGTGCACATTAGCACTATTTGTGCACGAAAGAATACATGATCTGATTCGGTTATTGATTATTTTTTATTTAGTTATTTGATATTAAGTAACTTTTTTTGTCATGCTTTTCACATGCTGGTGTCTCTTTTTATAATGAAACTACTAAATCTTTCATTGCAGCAAGCTATTTTATATGGTGCCCAGAGCCTTGCATATTAAAAAATGTGCAATAAGTCAACATTGATATTATCTGTTAATGCATGTTTTCTGCTCAGTTTATATTCAGCTGTGTGTGCAGTTTTTATGCAAGAATATTGATTTTTCTACTTTCCTAATGAGGTTCTTTATTTCTGAAATGATGTCTTTGATATTTGTTATGTAGGTTCTTTGAATCATACTTTTTAGGTACGACGTAATGTAAGGTTGATGGAGTCTTAAAGGTGCAAGTGTCTTTAATAGGGCACAATCTTTAGTCCTCTACTGGTTTCACAAACTTGTTCTCTACTATTTCCAATAAACGTAATGGAATGTAGGTATGTTGTATGGACTGTCAGACATCTACCATTAGTCCAATACATGAAGGTTCAGGATTATTTTCCAGGATTTTGGGAACATGTCCCATACCATGAAATTGGGAATTTCAGCAATTTTATTTGTTGTTAAAAATCGGGAAAAAATGCATGACTGAAATTTTAACATGATTAGATTAATGCGAACATTCAGTGTCTAGGATGGGGTCTGATTTAAAATTAGTGCAAATATGCACTTTCTAGGATGGCATCTTCAAACTTTTGAGCAATATAACAGTGAAGACTTCCTTATTTTTAAAGATTTTAGAAGTCTTTATTCAATATTTTTATTTTGTAACTTTCAATTGGGAATCTTTTCCTGTGGATTAGGAAAATAAGACACTATTTTCAGTTTGGGATATGACTGAATATCGGCTATAAAAATAAATAAGAAAGAAAAAATCCCCGAGGTTAAAGAAAATAGAAATTGATTGAAATATTTACTGTTACTCCTGCTATCCAGCTAGATTGCGGAATGCCGGTGGTTCAACTCAGGTGCCCGTTTGATCCTGAAATAATGTACAGAGGGGCACCTGAGGCACCTGGGGCACCTCCACCAGTAAAGCTGGAAATTCGCCATATGATATATACTGTGTTGGTGCGACGTTAAACCCAACTAAAAAACAAACAAAAACTAATACTCGGTCATGGACAATGCTGTTTTTTAGGAAACAATATATCTTTACGGAAGAAATGGAAGCGTGAAATTAAGAGGGAAAAGTAAAATGTTTGGTGGTTTGATCTTCAATCTCCCACTTAATTTATGAACGTCACAATTCTGTTCAAGAACAATGTCAGCATTTCTATCTACAGTACCTACATGAATATTATTGTTTGGAAAGCAATATTTTGTGTGCTGTTATTTTACAATTAATAATAAATTATTTACATTATGGCAAAAGTGCTAAGTTTGCTTTATTTTTGTCAGTTTAGTGTTTGAAAGCTTCTTCTGGAATGGCTTACATTGAGATATTTTGAAAAAAAAAGTAAACCATTAACATCTCATTATAATATCTCTGAGGCAGAACCCTAGAATGAGAAGTTGAATGTTATACTCCAATGAGTCATTCTTGTCAAATTGTAATAATTCAATCACTACCATCCTGTGCCTGAAACCTTAGTATGTTCATATTTTCAGAATTACGCTAGCAACATTAGAAAGTTAGAGTCACAAATTCAATCTCAAAATGACAATCATGATGGAATAACCAAAGAAGATTACGAAAGTCTTAAACTAACGTATGAAGGACAAACTAAGGAAGTGAAAATTTTAAGAAAATCTGTGGATGAAATGGTGTTACGTTTGGAGACCCAGAAACAGACATTAACAGCAAGAGATGAAAGTATAAAAAAGCTTCTAGAAATGATGCAAAATAAAGGTGTAGTTGTAGATAGGATAGAAGAATCCCAGAGAGAGCTGGAAAAATGTAGAGTGGAGAAAGTTGAAGATTCGTTAAAGTTGGAAGAATTAAAGCGCAACATCGGAAGAATGGAAAAAGACTTGGATCAGTTAAAGGAGGTAGGTGAAAGTTGACTTTGTCAGCATTTGGTGTATAGATAATACATAACCCTCGATTATGATTAAAGTGTTTTCAGCCCCAATTTAAAGAATGAGTTCAGATTCTGTCAGACTTTCTTGATATTACTTTCATGTTAGAAATTTGCTGTTACTTAAAATAAAGAAATTGACCTTTTTATCTTTAAACAGACCCAAGCAAATATAATTTATTGCATTTCAAAAGCAGTTATTAAGAAAAAATAAGCCATGATCTGTCTTATTTATCAAAATTAACAGCTATTTTGAATAAGGGTATGTGTTTAAAGCAGCATGCCTGAAGATTCATGCTAATTTTCATGGAAATTTTAAAAGTGTATTTAGAAGTTAAATATTGTGAAGTGATCAAAGGAAATAACAGCATTTGCAATCCACGTAAATTATCTAAATGAGGGTCAAAATAAGCAAAAATAGCCCTTACTGCGTTAGTAACGCAGTAGAAATATATACTGCAAAATCAGGCCTTTATTGCACATAATGACATATTATGTAAATTATTGCTTGAATTTTAAATCATTTTACTTTTCTAAGTACATTTTTCTCAAGTTTAATTTTCTTGAAATATTTTGGCTCATCTGGAGGCATGCAGCTTTAACAAAAAAAAAACCTTGATATAACTGATATATTTATATATTTTCAGGAGAACAAAAAGCTTAAAGAGCAACTTGGACAAGCTGAGGTTGAATTAAAACAACAACCAGCTAGCACTCATACAATGCAGGCAATAATGGAGGCAAAGGTATGTATTGTACTGTGTACACAGTAACCCATAACTTACTGAATTCATGTAATGGAATTGCCCCGCTGACCATATGAAGTTTAAAGGATTTCATTATCAAAATACAAAAAAAATAATAAACAAGCAACATTATAGAGGTTGATCACTTGTCAGAACACCTGGCTCTAAACTGGTGCCGAAGGTGAATCACTGTAGGTGAAATAAAATAACATAAATGCAGAGCAACAGATAAGCTGCAATTTAGGCAATTAGTTTTATAAAATACGCAATTGTGTTTTTTTGATATGCATATGAAAACACATTTAAAAAAATCAGATATGCAATTGCCTTAAAGATCCATGTGTATTTTCATTTTCGTCATGTAAAATTTAACTGTCGTCCGCAATAGTTATATGCATGCTATCCGAATATTCCCAAATGTAATTTAGGGCTTACCAATGGATGGTCTCCGGTCTTCGATGGTCACTGGTATCAAAAATCTGCCGAAATGAATTAAGCACAAGACCTTAATTTATATAATATTCTACTCAGGTTGACAGTCTTAACAGACTGGCAGATACCGTTGTTTTTGCGGAGACCGTCTATAACTAGGTCCCATGCTAATATACTGTATCAATAGATGCTGTGAAGGCAATATGATGACGTACATACATTATAGGGAACGAAAGGTCTTAAAATCGATCTTAAAATCATACGGTAACAGGTTTTAGAATACCCAATTAAATAGAGCCAATACCGAATTCCACATGAAATGGTGGAGAAATACCCAATTCACTTTCAAAGCTTATCTGTTGCTCTGTAAAATTAATGGTTTTAAGAAATTATATATATAAAACTATAGAAACATCACAATTATCCAATGAATAGCGACATAACAAGCATGCAGTATTATGAAATAAGATAAAAACTTCTTTGGGTCTTATAGTTAGATTATTACAATCTTTGTGTCTTATAGTTAGATTATTACAATAATATAACCTACAAAATTATTTTTTTTTTCATAAAACCAAGAATTTTTTTTCTAATAGAAATGTTCTGTATCATAACCAGTATGATATGTGTGACAAATCAGAACTTGTGCATATTGTACGCCTTGCTTTGTGACACACTTCAGAGTCCATGTCATAAATTATACATGTACATGTAGGATTCACGAATATCAGCATTAGAGAAAGAAGTGGAGAATTTGGAAGACAATTTACAGTGCCTTGGTGGAGAGGGTGGTCAAGATAAGGAAGCAAGTTTAAAGAAAGAGATGATACCAAGTCGAGAAAAGGCACTGAAATCTGAGGTCAGTATTCAATTTTATTTATCATACCAAATATCAGTACTTTTGAGTACTTATTAAGAAGTAACTTGTGGTTTTCATGATTTTTAGCTCACCTTTTTAGGATTGATAATTTGATATCTGTCTTTCATGTGACTATTTTTACTCATGAACAAGAAATGTTTCAAATGACATCTGCTCTTTGCTCAATTTGATCAAACTTAGTCAGGATGTTTAGAAAAACTTAATTTTCGAAGTCTTTTGCAAGAAGAAAGAACTGTTTGGTTGGTCGTTCTGTGTGCCTGAAATATTACATAGAGATGCAGTAAAAACAGGAAATATTGACATTAGTTTATAGTTTGATTGTGAAGGAAGCAATAAACTTATAAACACACTCTCAAATCTGTCTCTGGATACCAACCAGTTTGAAACAGTAAGTGTAAAGTTTCTTGTTCAGAGAAACAATGGCTTGGTCTTGAGGGGATTCATACCCATGTGGTCAAAATCTTTAGATTTTTAGTCGGGCCTGTTCACCACTCTGCCACACACCATACAAAATATTTACCAAGACCATTATAATGTTATTTTGGTTTACTGTTGAAACCGACAGAAAGAAAAAGTTTGTTTTGAAGTGGAAAATCAAACTTTATAAATTTCATATTTAAATAACTGTTACAGTATTGAATGAATAATTTAAATGACAATTTTGTCATAACCTTTTTGCACTCAGGCCTGTTCCATTTTCAATAGATCCATAAATAGCATGTTAAACTGCTTGAGAAAATAAAGTGCTATTTTTGTATGTTTGGTTATAATAATTTTGTGACACTGAAGCTCTTTTCTTTGATACAGATTCAGAATTTAAAAAGTGACTTATCTACTAGAGATAATGAGATTATCGGCCTTAAGATGAAAGTCGACACATTAACCAACCAAGGTTCCGAGCATCAACACTATATAAATGTTCTCAAGGACAATGTAAAATCTAAGGAGCAGCAATTGTCCATGTTTAATGCAGATGTAAGTACCGTTCTTGTGCTGAATTTCTTATACAGACTTGTTCAGCTTCTATATTTAGAACTGTCAATTTTCAGTTATGGGAATATAAATTAAGACAGCCAGCAGAATAGAGCCATGTCAGACTTGGAAGTGCTGCTGCTAACTGCTGCATGAGATGGATGTGATAAAAAGTTTCCTCATCTCTTTAAAATGCACTAGAGAACTTAGTTTTATTGAACATTTAGCCTGCTTGCAGCAACTGATTCTGCCCATACAGCCAATGCAGACCTAGGTGCCATCTGATTATTGTCTAAGATCTTTGGTATTATCTCTACATGTTGTTGTGGCCTTATCCATGTGACTTGAGCCGTTACTCAGAAATAGTTTATATGATAACAGTAACTTAATGAAACTTTACCATTATTATGAAAATGAAGTATGATTTTTTTCATATGCTCCCCATGACATACAATTACTGTTTACCTGCTGAATTTAGAACTTGAGAATTGTACATTTTCAGTTTTGGGGATATGAAGAAGAAAAGTTGGTTAGCCAACAGTATAGAACTTTGTCAGACTGCATTGTTTTGCAGGCTGGCCTGGCTGTATACTGGTGCCAAAGGCTAATCTCTTTTGATTCCAACAAGTCAATGGTTAATGAAAAACTGACAAATTTATTGTAGCCTTAAGAGCAGTAACGAATTTACTCCTTATGTAAATTTAATAGGAGTCAATCTGTTACTGCACTAAGGTAACGTTATATTGTTTTGTTTATTAGAACAAGAAAATTTGGGTGTATTTTTTTATCAACGTTGAAGTTTAGGTAAGCAAGGTTATAATTATCATACTAACAAATGATGAATTTTGTAGATCGATGATTTACGCGAACGTCTTAAAGAGAAAGACAATGCTATTGATAGGAAGGCTCAGCAGGCACAGGCACTATCAGTGGATAAAAGAAAACTTGAACTGGAATGTGCAGAACTTAAAGACAATCTTGATATTAAAGAACGAAAGGTGAACGTTCTTCAGCGCAAAGTAAGTACAATGGTTTGCAGGTATATATACTTGATTTGATAGAATATTTTATGAGGAGAATGATAATTGTGTTAATTATTGTTTGAAAAGTTTGTGAAATGTACTGGAAGATAGGAATTTGATGTTCATCAACCTGAAAACCTAGCAAGGCAGAAATAAATTACATGTGCATGTATCAAGTTTTTAGTTTGATTGGGTAAGAAGCTATAAGTTTATAAACACAGCCTCAAATATGTTCCTGGAACCAACCAGGCCTCGAAGCCAGAAGTATAAACAAGATTTTCAAGCTTTATCTTGAATATCAGAATTTTCATTGGTCAGTGTATATTCTGTTCCTGGTTCTGACCAAAAAAATATCTGAGTTGAAGCCGATTGAGCAATACATATGAGCCGCCCAGTCTGATCAGGATCCATGCTGTTCGCTATCAGTTTCTCTACTTGTAATAGGGTTGGTAAGCGAACAGCATGGATCCTGATCAGACTGCGCGGATGCGCAGGCTGGTCTGGATCCATGCTGGTCGCAAACTCATTATGTTGGTTTTGTCGTGGCACGGCTCATATGAAGTTTCTCGCTCAAGCAAAAAACAGCTTGCCCCTAGTAGGTTTGAATCCAGGCAGCCAGCAATGATTAGATTACCAGTCTAATGCGTTATTGATGACAGTGTGACTTTGAGCAATATCTTTTAAGTAAAATATTTCTGTAAAACTTTTAAAACTTAATCATGTACAATTTGTTAATTGAAGTTCAATTAAACCACACATAGGTTAAAGAATTATTAACCCTTCAGTTATAAGGAAACCTAAATCAGGTCCCAGAAAGGGTTTAGAATTTACCTTATTAATAAAAAAATGATTAGAATAATACCTACATATATATGGGACTTAAATGTTTACATGCTGTTCTTCTAATGTTCTTATTATGATGTATTTTGTGTTATATAGGTCAGTAACTTGGAAGATTTATTAGCTGAGAAAGAGGATCAATTAAGTCAGATAAGAACCCAGTCAACAAATTCTATAGAATCAACTGATAGTGCTATATCTGCCATGGAGGAATCTATTACTGAGAAAGAAAGGCAAATTGAAAGGTATTTTATAGTTCAACATTTTAACCACTTCCATAAACTGAAGCTTTCGTGCAAAACTCCTTCTGTATGTTGTTTAGGTTACAAAATGTTCTCAAAACTAAAAATAGTCTGTGATTGCTGTAGTTGGAATCTGATTTTCTGCAAGGAATTAAAATAACTGGATTTTCTGACCGAAATATATAGACAAATCAAGTAGAATTATTTTTTCTTTGTGTGAATTAAACGGTTTCATGAAAGATCCTTGTATGTGATCCAACTTAAAATCAATTACAGATAATTTAAATTTTACTTGCATCTGCAGTAATGATGCCATGATTATCATTATTACTAACATCATCAGTGCTTGATCATGAAAGTGTTACTTTATCAGAAAGATTATCTCTTAAATGTCATACTAAAAGTTATATTTTTGGGTGACAAATAAAACAGATGTGTTTTTCTAAATCATGCTTATAACCTTACCATGCTAGAATAAAAACCAAAATTTAGCTATTGCAATCAGTATAGTCTGACCAGAGTGTATATTGTTGGCTTTTGTATTTTTATCCCCCGCCGAAAAATTTCGGCGGAGGATATAGAAATAGTCTCCGTCCACTCTTCCGTCCGTCCGTCCGTCCGTCCGTCCGACATTTTTGTCCGGAGCATATCTCTAAAAGTATTTGAGTTATCAACTTGAAACTTCATAGGTGTATAGACCTCATTGAGGAGGAGTGCAGTGCACAAGAATGATAACTCTACCTTGCATGATTTTTGAGTTATTGCCCTTTGTTATTTTTCAAAATAGATTTTTGTCCAGAGCATAACTCCAAAAGCCTATGAGATATTAACATGAAACTTCATAGGTGCATAGATCTCACTCAGGAGGTGTGCAGTGCACAAGAATGATAACTCTACCTTTCATAATTTTTGAGTTATTGCCCTTTGTTATTTTTCATACCTTATTTTTCACCTGAGTGGAGCATAACTCAAAAGTGTTCGAGATATCAACATGAAATGTCATAGGTGGATAGATCTTATTGAGGAGGAATGTTGTGCGCAAGAATGATAACTCTTCCCTATACAATTTTTGAGTTATTGCCCTTTGTTTTTTTTTATGCTATTTTGTCCAGAGCTTATCTCAAAAAGTATTTGAGGTATCAACTTCAAACTTCAAAGTTGGATGGATCTCATTGAGGAGGAGTGCAGTGCTTAAGAATGATAACTCTACCCTGCATTATTTTTGAGTTATTGCCCTTTGTTATTTTTCAAAATTAATTTTTGTCCAGAGCATAACTCAAAAAGCCTTTGAGATATCAAAATGAAACTTCATAGGTGCATAGATCTCACTCAGGAGGTGTGCACTGCACAAGAATGATAACTCTACCTTTTATAATTTTTGAGTTATTGCCCTTTGTTCTTTTTCATACTTAATTTTTCAATTCAATTTTTTTCTCAAAAAGTATTTGAGGTATCAACATGAAACTTCATAGGTGGATAGATTTTACTGAGGAGGGATGCAGCACACAAGAATGATAACCTACCCTGCATTATTTTTCAGTAATTGCCCTTTGTTATTTTCAGCCATCAGTTTTCACATACCGTATAAGTACTTATTTCTGCGGGCTTAAAATTCTGCGATTTTGGTTAAAATAAGGGGTTTTAAATTTCTGCGTATCTTATTTCTGCGGTGTCATCATTCTCGCATTGATGTTTTTTATTTCTGCGTTTTAATTTAGATATTTTTACAAAATTAACCAATACAAACAGACAACATTGCAAGATATGTTGATGTAACATGTACATTACTTCCGGTAAACATGCAGACGACTTATAATGTGTATTCATCGTGATCAACATGTATCGGTATATAAAATATGATAAACAAGATCAACAAGGAAAGGCGGCGTTAAACAAAACAAAAATTAATTGTAATACTGCATGTGTACAAATGTGTCAAAAGTGTGAAAAATAAACAATGGTAATATCGCACGTAGACACAATATATTGTACAAATACAAAAGGGTATGTTTATTGCACCCGTCAAACTATAATAGTTTTATTTGTAAAATAAATCAAGCTTAGGGTGAGTGAAAATCATACAAATATGACATTTTTTTAAACAAAAGAACATTCAAGTAAAGTAACTTTTTTTCTAATATTTCATTCATGACGGGTACATAAAGAAAAATTATTCCCATCTACAAAAGCTGATAACGGTACATGGTAATGTAATTATACAATACAGGTAGTTTACATATTCCGACATACATATAGACATAGCGAAAGGCTTAATTTTCTGCGGTTTTTAAATCTGCGGTGTCATTACAAACCGCAGAAATAGCAGAAATAAAGTTCCCGCAGAAAAAAGTACTTATACGGTAGGTTTCAAATCTGTAATCACTATAGCCATCAGTTTTCATTACCAAAAGACCTCTTAAAATGGAATTATTCCGCTCTACTACATATACATTCTTCCAATGAGCAAACACATTCGGCGGGGGATGGCCATGTTGACATGGCTCTTGTAATATTGAAATCTTAAACTTGAAATGGACTGTTCCAAGTTCATGTCAGTGTAAATGCATTACACAAATTCAGCAGATTAAGTGTTAAAATGAGCCGCGTCACAACAAAACCAACATAGTGGGTTTGCGACCAGCATGGATCCAGACCAGCCTGCTCATCCGTGCAGTCAGATCAGGATCAATGCTGTTCGCTATCAGTTTCTCTACTTGTAAAAGAGTTGGTAAGCAAACAGCATGGATCCTGATCAGACTGCGCATCCGCGCAGGCTGGTCTGGATCCATGCTGGTCGCAAACACACTGTTGGTTTTGTCATGACGCGGCTCAAATATTTATCGTACCAAAATGATTTAATTCAGTTATAACAATTAACATGTTACTAAAGCCATATTTAGTCACAGAAATAAGTACATTTTGTTGGCTTTATAATGTTTTGACCATGGTCACCTGAACAAGGAGTGTTGAATAGGAAATAGTTTGTCATAAAGTTAGCAAAATGTAAACGAGATAATATTTTTACTTCCATACAACATAATACATCACTATAACTGTACTAATTTCTAAAAAATAATAGATGTCTCAGCTGTTGTAGCACTGAAAACTTGTCTTAGAACTGTAACAGAAAATCAAAAATAAAAATTTTCTGAGAAATGAAAAATAGCAATTTTTTTGGCTTAATGCGCCTTTAAAGTGTATTAATGCTCTTCAAAGTTAGCAACACAATTATATTGTCATCATGTTTTTAATAGATTAAAAGAGCAAAGAGATGTTTTAGAATTGGAACACCAACAAGAATGTGAGAGACTGGAAACAGTCAACCAGAAGTTAAAGTCAGATTTAGATACCCTCCAGCTAGAAGTGACAGACAAGCAGGTGAGATAGAAATTTTCTTATACAAATTTAAGTTATAGACAAGTGACCTGAATTTACTTACATACAAGCAAGTTAGTTGTAGATGTTGATGATCACAGATAAGCAGATTATGTCTAGATATTGAAAAACTTGAACAGGTGTGCAAGATTAAGATACTAAAAACTTGAACTTACAGGCAAGCAAGTGTATTTAGTCTGGTCTTTTGTTGACAATATCTTAATAGTTTGTGAACTTTTGTACTTTGTTGACAAAACAGAGTCAAAATAAGTGCATTTTAGGAAATTCAGTGCTTGAAGGGTTGTGAAAATGGCAACATTTTGAGTTGATAGTCTACATAGATGTTGATTATTTTCCAAATTACTTTTAATGTAAGTTTAGATATTCATGTAGGTCATCCTTGGCTGAGTGGTTATAGTCATTGACTTCAAACCACTTGCCTCTCACTGCTTGGGATCCGAATCCTGACAGGGACTAGTTACAGGTTCTAGTCAGGAGCCCGTTTGAGCCTGAAATAATGTGATGAAGGGCGCGTGAGGTCTTCCTCCACCAATAAAGCTGGAAAGTTGCCTTATGAGTTGTTGCGATGTAACCTAACCAAAAAACATGATGAATAAAAATACAAAATAAATGTATTTATGTTCAGTGTGTAAAAGAGCCATTTTTATCATTTGCTTACATTTTTAGTGTTATTTTTTATGTGATGTGTCTATGTAAGTCCTTAAACTTTGTCCGTTATATTAAGCATTTTCCTTTTTTTCGGGTGAACATAATGGAGAAAATCCAATTTGATAGGGTTTTGGGTGGAGTTTTTTTAAGTAAAAACTTTAAAAATAACTCTGGTTTCATTATTTCTTATGGAAGGTCAGTGGATCTACTCAAATGCTTGTGCTTGAAATAATGCACTGAGGGGCATCAGTGGTCTGCCTCCACCAGTAAAGCTGGATATGACTTTTACAGGATCGATGTCTCTTCAAACCAATTTTTTTATAGAATTTTGACCGTTAAAATTATCTGGTAATATATATCTTGCTGATGTGATTAAAACTTTACCAAAAGAAATAAGTATGTAATGTATTTTTAAGAGTGCAAAGATGTTCAATGCTTGTGGTATATTCCTGTTTGATACATAATTAAAATGTTTATTACCAGACTGAATTGTGTGATCTACGGGAGGAAGTTTCAGAATTGAAATCATCGAGATACAAGGCTGATGCTAGAATAAGACAACTAGAACTTAGTATTTGTGATAAAGATTCAGAAATATCCAAGTGTAAACAAGCACTAGATGAGGTATGTATATAACTGGACTGGCATTGTTTTCATACAACTGGTACTCTCAACATTGACCCTTATCTGCAGGAACTGAAAGTAATTTGCCTTTGCCATCATTATAGAGCCAGGGCAGTATGTATATTCTTGCAAACAGACCAGGTTCTGTACTGTTGGTTGGTCAATTTCTAGCTTGTCTATTTCAAAGAAAAAGTTCAGCTGTTATGTATACTGTTTGCACTACTGTTTGGCAGTGTCATTGTTATCGTGCAAAAACGTATTGAGCCCATTATTCAAAAATTTTAATAGACCTAATTTTCAACATGAAACTTAGAATACTTGCTTATGATGACAAGGTGCAATTGTTAAACAAGGGGGCATAATTCTGAAAACAATATTTTTGCAGTTATGCCCCCTTTTTAGCTTAGAATTTTTAACAGATGAGTGTTTACATGGCATGCAGTACTTTTGTTATATCTTAATGCTGAAATAACTTAAATTTTAAAATGAATGTTCTAAATTCAAAACAGGAAAAATCCATTACACAAATTCAGCAGGTTAACGGTTAAGGCACAGGTTATATCAACAAAGTTTTGTATGCAGGTATTTCATGACATATCTGTTGGCATTATATATAATCCAAAAATTCAACCAACGTCTTAATATGAACAAGCCAGCATTAGTTGTTCATGCCTGTTTAATTACATGGGGCCTTCGTGGCTGACTGGTTTTAAATCTCAAATCACTTACCTCTCACCACTGTTGGTTGAAATCCTATCTGGAACTTTGAATTCTTTATGTAAGGAGGCTATTCGGCTAGCTTACAGAAGGTCGGTGGTTCTACTCAAGTGCCAACTTGTGCTTGAATAATGCACGAAAGGGCACCTGAAATCTTCTCCACCAGTAAACCTGACGTTTACAATATTAGTGTTATTAAAAATCAAACAAAACAAACTGGTTAATCACATAATTGATGGATCTTTACCAAACTTAACATTGATGGTTCTTTACCAAATTTGGTTTTAACAAAAAATAACAAATCATATGACACATGTGTATCTTAAAAAGAAATATTGATATTTACTTTCCAAAATTAGGAGAAATTTCATTCAGAAAATTCTAGATTACTGTTATCATTTGTTTCTTGATTTTTCCCTAATTAGAAGATGTTTCATTTTGGTAATTCTAGATTATATTGATCTTGTGAGTTCTTGATTTTAATGTAAAGATGAAGGTATCAAAAGCAGCTTCTAAAGGTGAAGCAACAGAAGAACAGCTAGTTCAGCTCAGTACGTCGATGGAACAGTGTAAGATTGAGATGCAGTCTGCGCAGTCAGAGGTCGATAGGTTACTGAATATTCTCAAAGATGCAGAAAATGAAAAGAATGAGAAAGAAAATCAAATCAAGGAGCTACAAGAGTAAGTCAGTGCCTTGTAATTCAAAAATATTGGGAAATGGTGATGATAGTACTTAATTTTCATTAACAAAAATAGAGTATGAAAAAATTATTATTTTCTTCACAGAGCATAAGTTGTTTTTCTGATGATTTTTGGGTTGATGTGTTCATGTTATGCATTTTGAGAAAGAAGCGTAAAAGATCATAGTGGCCCTTGCATTAAAAAAAAATCTCTCAATAAATACCAGAGACTCAACTTAGATGGAGTCATGGACAGTTTACAGCCTTTATCTAGAATAAGCTTTCACTTACCTCTAGTGGCAACATTCTTACTTTTATAACTCACATTGTGTGCTGTCATGAATATTTGTTTATTAAATTTCGCTTGTAGAATTATTTTAGCATTTCACCTCTCAGTTTTGTTTGAAAATTATCTACACACTTTCTCCAAAGTAGTAAAGGTTACCACATTCAAATCGCTTGCCCCTCATCATCATGGGTTGTAATTTTATAAGGAATTCCTGATTCTTTCATGTGAAGATACTTTCCAGCCAGTTAACACAGGAGGTCAGTGGTTCTATTTAGGTGCCAATTTGTGCCTGAAAGGCGTCTGAGGTCATCTTCCACCTGGAAAGTTGCCACATGTCCTTACAGTGTTTTTGTGACATAAATCCCCTTTCCCCGCCTCCCAACACCCCCCAAAAAAGAAAACAAACAGCAACAAAAATCTCCATTTATCTTTAATTGCCATATGTTATGCAAGTGTACATTGAATTGTTATAGCAACAATATAACAGATGCAGTTTTTTTTTTTTGATTCATGCTAAATCAATGAAAGGAATTCAATATTTTGCACCATTTATTGTTTAGTTATATTGACATTATAAACTTTAGCACCGTGGGCCAGTACAAACAGAAATTTGGTACATTGAAGAGACAGCATCAGAAAGACAAACAGAAAAATGCCCATCTGTTAGAGGAGGCTAGGAGACGAGAAGAAGATATTGGCACTGACGCTCAACATCTTAAGGTAAGTCATAGAAAAAACATGACCTGTTAAACTATGCGGATTGCCTTAAATTATGCTAGTTGTATTGTATAAGTATAAATAATGACATGTGAGAATAGCACATTTGAGCCACGCCCTGACAAAACCAACATTGTGGGTTTGCGACCAGCATGGATCCAGACCAGCCTGCGCATCCGCGCAGTCTGATCAGGATCCATGCTGTTCGCTATCAGTTTCTCTACTTCTTATACCGTTTGTAAGTGAACAGCATGGATCCTGATCAGACTGCACGGATGTGCAGGCTGGTCTGGATCCATGCTTGTCGCAAACCCACAATGTTGGTTTTGTCATGACGCGGCTCATTTCTAGTGCTTTTTACCAGTTATAGAAGATAGAAACTTGATGTTCATCTTACATATGACAAAGAAGCTTGAAATCTATGTTACTTACAAGAAGGAAATTTAGTACATCTTTTGCAAAGTGGTTAAGGTTGTTAATTTCAAATCACTTGCCCCTTTCTGCTATGAGCTTAAATCTTGCTAGGGACTTTGAATTCTTTTATGTGAGGAAGCTACCAAGGTGCAGACTTGTGCCTGAAATATTTCTTCCTCCACCAGTAAAGCTGGAAAGTTGCCATAAGACCTTGACGGTGTTAGTGTGACTTAAAATCTAATCAACCAAGAAAGATACTTGAAGGCTTTCATACATTCAGGACAAATATTTGAAGTCTTTTTCACATACAAGACAAACAAACAAACAAAAATAGAAATTCATAATAGATGAAACAGATGGATTTTTTTTATGTTTCATTCTAAATATTTTGTTAATTTATAGGGTTCTATGAAGGAAAAGGAAGATCGTATTGAAGAACTTGAAGAAGCATTACGGGAAAGTGTTAAAATTACTGCAGAGAGAGAAATGTTACTCATGGAACAGAAGATGCAAATTGATGCCAGTCAAAATAGTGTAAGATTACTATCATTAAAGGCCCATTATGCTTTAGAAATGCTTCTATTCTTATTTTTCAAAATCTTTTTATTTTGCATGAACTTTTATTGTTTCCAAAGAGCTATTCATTGGCCAATTACCTGAACCATCTTTTTCTTCTGTTTATTTTTGGCAATAAGTACAATTATAGTGATGAAGTATTTTGTATGGAAGTCAAATACTACTCTGTTTTCATTTTGCTACTTCATTTTACTACTTTTATAAAAAAGTTTTTCACATTTAGTGCTGTAAGTATCTAACATGCTCTAAAACAATTATTTGAATATCTTAAAGTTCATGTTTTCCCTGTTTAAAGAAGAAAAATATATTTGTTTCTGGGGCATAATGTGCCTTTAAAGAATTCTGATTACATATGGTTTCTAGAACATGAAATTGGTTGAGCTTTTAGCATTGATGATAATAAAAAATGTCTCAGTAAGAAAAAGATAGTTTCTCAAACTGTATACCTGGAATTTAAATGGTTTCAACTGTATTCCTCTTTGTCCATTCATTTTTATCATAAAACTTTCTAGAATATTTTGGTTGAAAGTTTATTCAACTTCAACTACATTTATATAGGGAATATAGGGAAGGGAAAAATAAAACAGTATTTTTTGCTAAAGGGGGAGAAAAAAAACTAAATACAAATTGAATTTAAGAATTTAAAATTTAGGAGGAAAACTGCATGATTTTAAAGAAGTTTCCTTTAGGGGGGAAGCCATTCTTATACCGCCCCTACTATAGAGTATAGAAAGGGAAAAAACCTTGATTTGTTCTAATTTATTTTTCATTATAGATAGAGGAACTACAGGCTGAATTAGAAAAGGCCAAGTCTTGCACGAGAGAATACACAAGTAAATTGTCTTCATATGTGAAACAATTAGAGGACAAAGATATTAAACTTAAGAAAATGAATTCAGAACGTCACAAACAGATGGAAGAAGTTTTCGAAATGAAGTAAGCATATAATACTTTCAATTTGTAAAGTCGCATTTCTTTGGTTAGTCATAGAGTTTAAATAATATTTTCCGTCATCCTAGCTTGTGCTTCATGTTTAGTGCTTTAGTGCATTTAGTTGAAATGTAGCAAGTTGTCATCAAGTTTTGATACAGGTATTAAAAGATTTATTGTTTCTTGCCTATCAGACAAGATTATCTACTGGTGCTTACACCCCCATGTATGACAAGTCACATGCTTTAAATTATATCATCTAAGAAAGACATCATTTTGCCATTATGAATGAAGATGTAAATTTATAAGAAAAAGTTCTAAATGATTATGTTAGTTTTTTCGTGATATCCTTCCTAATTATGATTAATATGTAATATGCAAAAAAAAAAAAATTAATCAAACATAGGCTGTCGGTACAGATAGCCATATATCTAGCTCTCAGGTAATTGTTAAGCAGAAACTCGGCAGAGCCTCGTTACCAATTAAAACAGTTATCCTCGGGCTAGATATTCCAGTTTGTACCGGCAGCTGGTGTAAGTTCCAAATAACTTTTTATTTCAGACAGGAAGCATTACAGTCAACTATTACACAGATTGACAGTAACATTGGCATGCTGGAAATGACCAGTACAAGAAAACAAAATCACATGCAGGAGATAGATGAACTTTCCTGTAAAAAGGATGAACTTAAACAACAACTGAAAATATTGGTATTCATTTTCATGTTTATTTTTTTTAAATCCGAGAACTGAAAAATACTGTTACTGTGGTTATGTTGAACCAGATGACTATATTGTTGTATAGGATGTAAACATAAATAGTCTCGGATATACTATTTTACATTTTAAAAAAAGATGAAATTTGACATAAATAAGTCTGATTGATGCGGAATTGGACATCTGACTTTATAGAAATTGGTTTTGCAACTTGTTATAGTACTTCATATTTGATTTATTTCATATTTTATTATTTATATAAATTTGTGCAAGTAAAGTTATTTCCATATTTTTTTTGTCATCTTTTGCATGGTTTGCTTGATAATCATACTTATTGATTAAGATGTAATTTCAGTGGTTTTAATTTAAAATTCAGCAAGTTAACTTTTGTATAAATGCTTATAAATCATCAAAATTATATCTTTATGAAATTATTTATATCATTCCTGCTTCTTACACAATAACTCCTAAATCTGACAATCTCAATAAGTTCAAATTATAAATCATAGGAAAATCCTTATCCATTGTTTTAATTCTCTTGTACAAAACTTAAGTTATTAAGTATTAAGCTTAATATTTCATGTATTTTTGTATGAGTTTGGTTAGTTATAATGTTTGTAAAGAGTTAAAGAGTTAAAAAATGAGACAGTCAGTGTCAGTGCTTGGTTTAGTAAATTAAAGACTGCAGCTAACCATAAATTTCCAGGGAGACAGTATTTAAGTAGGCCCCTTAAAGTTTTAAACCTCTTTTGAATTAAAGTTAGAAAATATCTGTAGATATATCAATAGTATATAAGTAGGCCCCATAAAGTTTTAAGCCTCTTTTGAATCAAAAGATATATCAATGAATTTTATACAACCAACTTATATCAAGAAATGTTTTGTAGATTCAAGATAGAGATAGATATCTTCATGAAAGAAGTCGTGGAAAAAGATCAAAATCTAGAACCAATGATCCAGCACAACAGACTGTCAAAACTGAAGAAAGCAAGGCACATGCTGTCAAAACAGATGAAAGCAAGGCAACGGCACATGCTGTCAAAACAGACGAAAACAAGACAAATGTGCAAGCTGTCAAAACAGATGAAAGTAAAGTGACAGCTCATGCTGTCAAAACGGAGGATAATAAATCAACTAAAAATGATAACTCTACATCAGAACAGACAAAGAATGTAGAGTTAACATGACGAGTTTTAATGTCAAGCTTAGCCCCTGGATGAAATTATTTTAACGTTCTGTAAGCTGTATGTGTTCTTAGATTTATATTAAAATTCATGTTGTAAGTATATAACCCTCTGTGCAATATTAAGGAACATTTAAAAGATATAACAAATGATGTGTAAGTATATAGTAATGTTTGTCATAAGTTATGCCTGTTACCATGTTTGCTTTCATCTTGTCCAAACTGCTGGCAGAACTTTTATACAACTTTTACTTGTTGTAAACTTCTTCTGTACACCAGGAAAGAGTGATTGTTTTGACAATATGTGCCCAAAGTCTAGTTCATCGTAGGAAATTGGTGTTATTTGTAATTGAGCATTGAAAGATACATTTTGATTTCATGTTTTTATCAAAAGTCAAGGTCATTTTCACCTGTTTTGTGTCATTTTCTCAAATTTTAGTCAATGTCTCATCATCTTAAGAGATAAAATTTCATTTTTTAAAAAAACTTTGTTTATTTTGTTGACATTTGAAATCTAAAGGTTGCTTGTTAAGAAGAATTGGGTGGGTACATTAATTAGGAGAGCTTGTCAAAAGTCAAAGGTTGTCAGATTTAGAGTAGATGAGAAATTTCAATGTCAGATATAAAACAGATATTATTTTCTAATATAGAATATTGTTAGATGGCAATGAGATTGCAAAGAGATAAGAAACTGGTGCTGTATTTATTTTTAGAAGGATGATTATCAATGTTATGTAATCTTCGCATGTTAATTGTTTTTTTTAAAAGGAATCTTCTGTGTTATTTTATAAGATTATCGGTTAAAGGGAATCTGCGGCAAAGTGGTTAGAATCTCTGACTTCAAATTGCTTGGGCCTCGTTCTCTGTGTGTATCTTGCCAGGGACTTTCTTTCAATGAGGGGGACTTTCCACAGGAAAGCTGGAAAGTGGTCATATTTTTGTGACCTTTACAGTGTCATTGTGACTTAAAACAAAACCAACCTTTATTTTCTACTCCTTTCACAGGAATAGGTTTTAGTCGGCAGAATCTTTCAACTAAGAACTAATTGTTGCCTTTTTTTATAGTGCTGATTCAGCTGAAAAGAAAATTTTAGAAGTGTGTGTAAGAATAAATTTTTCATGAATACCTGTAAAGCAGTGTAATCAAATTAGATTATTTTTACTTATATACTGGCACTAGGAAGAAGTCATAACCTTTAAAATAATAATAATTAAACACAAAGCTTTATTTTCACCAGCATTTGGACAGTGCACCATTAATGTATAGAAATTATCCATAATTAAAGTCGTACATCATTTCATTTCTATCGTTTTTAATTTTCGATTTATTTTTTACCATCTTAGTGACAGTCATATTGACATGGATTCAATGATTTTCACACAAGCAATAAAAGTGCCATACTGACGTGTTTTCTTGTAAACCAGGTCTCGAACTTGATTATTTTATTTACATTAATCTATGTAAAATAAGCAAGAGTTGTAGCCACACATCCTCATCTCGAAAAGTATGTGAGGTACAGATCATGCCTAGATGTTTGCATGTTTATAATTATGATGTTTTTAATGTTGTACTTTTTCTGCAAAATATATGCATGTACCTTTACATTTAATTTTTTATCCTGTTTCAACTGCATAGTTGAGCCGTGTTACGACAAAACCAACATAATGGTTTTGCGACCGGCATGGATCCAGACCAGCCTGCGCATCCATGCAGTCTGATCGAGATCCATGCTGTTCGCTATCAGTTTCTCTACTTGTTATAGGGTTTGTAAGGGAACAGCATGGATCCTGCTGGTCGCAAATGTTGATTTTGTCATGATGCGTCGCATATGTTTGTATGAAGTAGTGTGGCTGTACAAATCAATGTTTTAATTGTGGCAAACGGAGAAACTTTCGAACATAAGATGCTCTTTATGTTAAAACAACATATTTTCACTATAACATGACATATTTTATCCGAATATGTAGGGTATCAAAATTTCTACATGTTAATTATTTTACCACTACTACAGTATTAAAGTTTTTACGATACAAGTTGACCATCAATGATATATTAGGTCTATGTCTATTTGTGCTGAAATTTTTTTTATGAAAATAACTTATAATAAGTTATTGTATGTGAAGGTACTAGTCGGATGTAAAATTTTGTAACCTATTTACATGTACCATGAGATTGTATGATCCAAAGTCAAGATCGAAAATCAGATATTCTCAGTCACGGTCACTTTATTTTCAATTTTAAAAAATTGGGCATTTTTGTAAACGTTTTTACTTACTTTATTATGGTTGTAAACAAGGGTCATGAAACCTTTTGTATGATTGCAACATGTAGTTGTTAAATGTATTTGTGAAGTGATTTTGCATACATTTTTTGGTAAAGATTTGTGATAGTAATTATGGAGCCTAACTTACTTTTAAAGGGTCATTTGGCTGACCAACCTTTGTTCCTGTTTGTCTATTGTTTGCATTTTCCTTCAATGAAAGTTTATCCATTCATAGTTAAGTCAAGGCACTTTTCCTTTTGTTTCAGTAGATGATCAGTATTAGTTGCCTAAGATAATACACTGAACATGTTCCTGCTTAGCTGTGTTTATTAACCTTTGTTTAATGTAAAAATATTACAATATTGTTTTGTCTAAATCCGTATTTATCATTTATAAAAAAAGTTTAAAGTACCCTTTGGGATATTTTTATCCTTTAACAAAATTTGATATTTTTTTAGTTAAATTTTGTAAATTTTTAGTGTATTGGATGTAAAAATTTCAGAGTTTTTGCCATATTATTTTAAATTTAAAGATATTTTTTCTGTACATTTTAAACGACTGTATTTTGCTACTGTTAAAATTGTATTCGAAATTAAAATTTTCACACTGATGAAATTCAAAACACATTAATTAGAACAGATATAAAGAATTGTTGATATTTTATGGATTTTGTATGTTAATATCCTCAGCACTTTTCATATAAATCTTGTATACATCCTGTATAGAAGTCCTTGAATCTTCATTTAGTTATAAGTTTATTAACGGGCATGTCATTTAGATATATTTATATCCTACTTATAAAATGATACAAAAAAAAACACACAGTAATTATTATATTATTTAATTATAAATTTCCTACTTGGTTGTGATCTACTGTAGCAAAGAAGAGTTGTTGGGAAATTCTTATATTTTTATCGCCCACTGTGTTCATTCAGTTTGGATCATTGTACATGTAATAAGAAATTATTAACATGATTTATTAACTCTTACCTTGCTAAAACCAGCAGTAATTGGCTGATTCCACTAGAATATAGCCCTGGGTAGCCTGCACATCCAGTTTGAAAATGGACTGTTCCAAAAATGGAAGCTGGACAAGTCCATTGAAGAAATTCAACAGGTTACGTGTTTTTTCGTTATCTGAATTAGGCAGTGCTGTATATCACCAGATATTTTTTCACCTGGAATACTTTTTGAAAAAAAATATGTACCAAAATTGTAAACTATTCTTCGATGTTCTTTTTTTTAAAGAATTCACATGGTATGACCTCATTTTCAGTTGACAGTTTAACTACATGTATACATTTTGAAGCATGCACTTGATGGAATAGATAATAAAACTTTTCCTAAAAGTAGATAAAATTTTGTCTTTTTTGTAAATTTAGAAAGTTACCATTTATGATTATTAGACCATTTTCTATCAACAAAATGTGTTTCTGTTCAGTGGTGTTATATTCAATGGGACAAGATTGAAGCTAAATCAGTTTTTCTGAACTTTGGTGTTCTACTTTGGTCTTTCTCAACAAGTAAAGTTGAAAAATTTCTGTATGACCTATACAGTGTTTGTATGATTTAAAAATCCAAACAAAACGTGTAGCCACTGTATCAGTCGGTTACCCACAGTATATATGAGCCGCGTCACGACAAAACCAACATAGTGCGTTTGCGACCAGCATGGATCCAGACCAGCCTGCGCATCCGCGCAGTCTGATCAAGATACAGCTGTTCGCTATCAGTTTCTCTAATTGTAATAGAGTTGGTAAGCGAACAGCATGGATCCTGATCAGACTGCGCAGACCGGTCGCAAACAGTGCCAAACACACTATGTTGGTTTAGTTGTGACGCGGCTCATATATGTAAGGAATATATGCTGTGGGTAGTATGTACGGGATATATGCAGTGGGTAACCAAAGATGAGTATAAGTAGTACCTACCTATTTGAACAGAGTATACAATGGGGAACATTTATACACATATCTTAAAAGTAACATAGTTTGCACCAACCAGTGTTCAAGGAATATAGCAATTTTGAAAATTTGATAAAGTTTAGTGGGTGCTATAGTTTTGAAAATATAAACAATACTAGAGTGTGATAGTTCATAATGACATCCATATATCTGTATGATGCATATTACCTTCTGTAGATGAATATTCAGAACTGAAGATTTTGCATCATATCTTCAGTTTGTATATGACCAGTTTTCAATCAAAAGTTTCAGACATTTATTCAAATAATCTCAGTACAATTTACAGTAGATGTTATTGTGTGCTTATTAAAGTAACATGCAATTATCTCATTATTGTAAGCCTTGATCCATGTAGGCATGTTGAAATGTTATATATTACTTTGATGCACTTGATGTTGCCCAGGTTATTATTGTGTGCACGTCTGAAAAATGTAAAAAATTTGATTTTTTGTATTTCCTTTATAGAGTAGTGGCGACATACAGGGATCACTTCACCATTGTCTGTCTGTCCATCTGTCTGTGCATCACAAAACATGTCCGGACTTCTCCACAAAAATTATTTGTGCAATTTCATCCAAAATTTATAGGAATAACCAGTACCAAGTCTAGTTGTGCATACCACCAGCATTTTCTGGTCAAGAGTTTATGGCCCTCTAATGATTTTTATTTCAGAAGTTTGTCCGGACTACTTTTATACCACTAATGCAATTTCAATGAAACTTTACTGTATTGATTGCAATGATTGGTAGCTCAAGTACATTATGGTCAAGTCATGGCCCTTGAATAACAAATGTGTTTTGGCTCGTTAATGATTTTTGTGTCTCCTGCTGCACAGTAGTTGCAACATGCAGTTGGCTATCTTAAGGTGACACGTGTTCACTGATCGCTCTTGTTTAAATAACACAATATTAATGTTACCAATATTGATGATTGTGTTCAGGTGTTGAATTTGATGTTGCAAGAATTCTCTTCTACCTTAAATATACAATGCATGATGTTTTGTATATTTCTATACAACAGGATATACATGTAGTATACAAAATGTATTCAAGAATGTTAATGTATCACCTATCTTACTGAAAAATGGTGTCAGTCCTCATCACAGGTGCTAGGCGCTTAAATGTTTGTATACAGACTGCTCTACTATTAATGCTTGTATGTTTTTACAATAAATGTTTCAGTAAAACTTTCAACATTCTGCAATTAGAGGTTCAGAAATGCAGACACATCAAATAAATGAAGATAAAATCAAAGAAGATCCCTTAAGGTCCACTAAATGCTCTCTTAGAAATAAGAATAGATGCTCCCTAACCTGCACATTTGGTAAGTTTTTTTTTCAAAGCAAAATCTGTAAATAAAGCCATGGACAAGTGTATGACCCCAGTGACCATGACCCCAGTGACCCAGATTTTTCACCTTACCTAAGTTTTAATATATTTGTCAGCTGGAATAAACTTGAACATACAGTTGCAGAGGTTCGGCAAACAACTATAAATGTGCTCGATATGCAACAATATAAATAGGATTCTTAGGAAAAATGGTGTTGAACTATGAAACATAAAGTTGATTAATATTTATCTTCAATTATTTCAAGTACTTGCATCAGGTTTCAAGATTTTACTTGGAACCGATTAATGAAATAAGCCGCGTCACGACAAAACCAACGTTATGCGTTTGCGACCAGCATGGATCCAGACCAGCCTGCGCATCCGCGCAGTCAGATCAGGATCGCTATCAGTTTCTCTACTTGAAATAGGGTTTGTAAGCGAACAGCATGGATCCTGATCAGACTGCGCGGATGCGCAGGCTGGTCTGGATCCATGCTGGTCGCAAACGCATTATGTTGGTTTTGTCGTGACACAGCTCAAATAATGAATAACAGTGCCAATGACCATCTGCATTTCACTGGGAGAAAGTTATACCACTATGACTATAACAACAACACATTTAAGGCCTAAATAGTTTTATTAAATGAAACAAATTCACTAAACTTACATGTAAGTTATTACATCAAGATGGCAGGAATGTCCAAAAATAAAATGCTTAATAAATTATCTGTCAAACATACATGTATGTGACTATATCCTGTATCTTAAAATGGATTTTTTTTCTTCTTAAAAGAGAAGTAGCTAATAGAACAGAACCTACTTGATAAAAGATTATCATTATAAAATGCAGTAGGAAAAAAACTTCTTTATTTATGTTAAAGTTAGCATAATAAGACACTTTTTAGATTACTTCCAAAATCATATAATATTGGTATTTACATAAAAATAAAACATACCAGAAAACCTTAGAAAGTTGAGACTGTTTTATAGAAGAATGGCCTGATTTTTTTTTTGTACAAAATGGTTGACTATATACAAAAAGCATGTATATATAATAATGCCTGTATAAATCTTTGTTTTATGATTATTTACAAACGTAGAAAACAATTCTATGACCTGTATTTATGTGAATTTTTATCTCGGCTTTTACTTTACCATCTTCCTACTTCTACAATTTTTATGTTTTTCTTTGTATGGAGCATAAATTTCATTGCGACAAATGTTTGATGTATGCTGATTGAAGAAAAAAAAAATGCAAAAAAGAACGAGTACGTAAAATATAGCACTATTAACATAGCAATGATTTTCTCTTATAAATCTATCATTACAACATTTCTTTATAGCCTCTGACCCTGTGGCCTACGACCATGGGCCTTCAACCCTGGGGCATATGTTATAAAGAAATTTTCAAAGCTCAATGATCACTCAAATACTGCACAAACATTGTTCTTTAACATTCTTTAACATTTATGATAATTTTCTGCATAGATTACTGTTCATCTATATTTTTACTGTTTGACACTGTGACCATATCACTTTCATCCTTTAACATATGATTTATAGATACAAGATTATAGAAAATGCACAAATTATACAAAATTCTAAACAAAGTTTCGATTTTAACAATTAGTTTTCGCATATACTGGAAATTAAATCTATTATTATCTTATTTCAGGTCAAAGTAACTTTTACATACATGCATCCATTTCATTAATGTATTTTGATTATTCAACATTTCTTGTGACCTAAAGTTTATAGCGAAGAAATACTGTTTCTAAAAACAAACGTTTTGTACTTTAAAATGGAAGAAAATTTTAATAGAGCAAGATCAAAGTATCAAAAACAGAATGTTAACATGGTAACAGTCAACTTGAACATATTGAAAAAGCTATACAACTTAGAGAGATTTAGTATCTACATTTAACTAAAAAAATAATAATATCTACTCGATGTAAAGGGTTTTATAGTGTCCTTTTTTTTTAGTTTAAAAATATCAATTCTTTTCACGAGCGATCTTGTAAGTGTTTAAAGGTTGAAGCCGCTGCCAGCTCTTTTCTGAACCTGGGAGTACTCTGAGTAGCTTTCACGACCTTCATGTTGGACTGATGGAACAGCAACGACAGTTGGCTGTATAGCCAAGGACCTCTTCGACATTGTTTCAGCACCAAATCCATTCAACTCCGCTGTAATTAAAGTGAAATAAAATTCAATATAACTACATAAATATAATCTACAAGAAAAACAACAAGAATATTGTTGACACAAGTAGATACAGCTCTTTGATGCTGACTTAACATAATTAACAAGAGCTGTCCTGTCTGCAAGACAGTGCTTTCGGCTATTCTCAGCGCTGGACAGGAAGAAAAGGGGCATACCTTTGTAAAAAGGTTAACTCAGAGTTTTGGAACATGTGCTCATCATGTTACATAACCACAGAACAAGTGTGTGAAATTTCAACCCATTCTCTTCAGTTGTTTTGGAGATACCAGCTTGCACAAAAAAACTTAACCAAAGTGTGCCGATGAAGCTGATGCCAGGGTGAGCACAATTGCTCTCCATAATCTTCCAATAGTCATGCTAAATTGAAGAACCTCTAGGTTCCGAACATTTAGCTGTTCTTTTAAGCTATTTTTGCCCTGAGGAAGTTTTTATTAGTAAACAATCTGACAATTTCTAAAACTAACTAACTTATTAATTTTTAAGCCCATGTGACCCTAAATTTACGAAAGGGACATCCAAGAATGTGAATGTTTGTAATTTAGCAGATTGTTGGATAATATCTTAATTTTTTCATAACATACATGTATATATAATCATAGTTGCTTTCAATTTATGCAGTATTTTCTGCCATAAAAATTCAATGTAAAGATTTTTGACAGGTTATATAGCCATGTACAAATAGTTATTTATGATTTATATATAACCCAATATATATAATCCACATCTCATGGCAATGGTTATATAAGTTGTCAGCTGTTTCTACTGGACCATATTACACGCCAATCATCTTCATAACTAATTACATGACAATAGATAAGGGAAAAACCTGCCCAATCCTTACTTGCTATAATAGGGACCAATGTCAATTTTAAAAAGGAATTAAAAATCAAAGATTTCCAAATTTTGGAAAGATACCAACTTGGCCAATGAATGAGTTTGTCATCAGTTTGTTTTGCTAACTATGAATTCAATTGGCAACATAGCTTCTGCCGAACCTGTTTTCATATCAAAGCTTGGAAGAAACATGAGGCTCATCATAAATTAGTTGACAAGATTAAAGGTATTCAAATTTTTTGTCAATAAGCTCCAAAGGTCCCTAATTGAGTTCTTGGCAAATTCATTTATAATTTTTCACAAGGACTGTATGATGAGAAAACTAAAATCAAGGTCTATAATCCTTTTTTACTTTTAGATATTCTGGCCTTTCTGGGAGACTCGCAATTTATCTGCACAAACTTAACCCTAATACCTAAGGATGCCTAACAGACCAAGTTAAATAATAATCTATCTTAAACACATTCATGAGAAATTGTCTAAAGATTTAATTTAAATTAAATAACCTTTGAATGGTTAACCATATTTTTAAACAAGGGACTTTCTAAGAAAATGATGATCTAACCATTGAGTAATGAGATAGAGGTGTTAACTCTTAGCCAGCTGGTGGCAACTGAATTTACCCATGTGACCAGCACAAACACAATGAGCCGACACATCTGTACTGTCCGATCATGGTCTGCATTGGCCGTTATTCAATCAGTACTTATTTTTAAATGTTCCCTAGAAATAATGAACTGCGTTGTCCATAGGCGGAGAAGTCCATTTTAGATATTTAGTGTAGCAGCAGTTAAAAAGGTCCCTTTTAGTTGACCCGTTTTGGGGCCAAATGGAAAGCATGTTGTAGGGATGCTTCACAACAAATTTGAAATGAATTTAACAGGTACAAGAGAAGACCACTCTTACGCATAATGATGTTACAACAGACAATGCCGACAGATGTTAGAGTATCTCCCCTTGCCATTCAGTAACTCTAACTTTGGTATAATAATGGAAAAATTAAACTTATTGATATATAGTAAATACTTACACTTTGTCACGGCACCAGATGAAGTGTACATCTCAATCTTTGCTCGTTTTGAGGCCAGGAAGAAAGCTAATATTGCAAGGATTGCAGCATCGAAAATGCCAAGGATGGCCAAGATATAAGCCCAGCGAATGTTACAGTCGCCCATACGGTACTTTCCGGAGCTCTCACCACATATCGTCTGAAGTTGGTTATTTTCCCAACCACTGGGGTATATCACACAGGCAAGGAACATAAAGATTGCTGAAAATAGATAGATGATACATTCAAAAACATGTACAATAGAAATAGAATAACCTTTGGTAGTTTATATTGAAAAAGGCACAGATACTGAAAAACTTGTACCTATATTTTTAAGGTAATTTGTTAAAACCATTCCACTCAGACACATACCAATTCTAAAGCTAGTTTAGCCAGTTCCTTAGTTGGGGGTTATGGGAGGAAGATGGGGCAAGATTAAAATATAAAAATATTTTTCACTGTTGCACATTAGAAATAGAGCTGGAACTAAAGGTATATGGTATTCATATTGACATCCTCTAGATAACTAAGAACATGTTCACAATTACTGTTTGTATCACAATATTTCTACCCTGTTATTAACATTTACATGTTCAGGTATATTATATATAAGGTAATTTTAAGTGTATATAGTGAGTGCCATTTAAAATTAAGTTTTTACATTTGACAAATTATTTCGAATACTTAGTTATTACCAACTTATTTTAGTTTGCATGATTACCGGTATGTTGAAAACTATAAGCTTATTGAAACACTAACCCACCAGTACTAAGCAACAAGTGTAAAGATTCTTGCTTACAGAACAACCGGGTTTGAACCTACCTCCTGGAGTTTTGCAGCTTTCATTTCAATGCAATAACTTCTTTTACCTAAATTTAACACAGTTTTACATATGTAATTATGGGTATGCCCAAAAAAAAAATACAACCATGAAAAAAAATCATTGATACACCCTTCCTTCTTACTCATTCCACACATCACTTACTTAAATTTTGTCAATGACATCAAACTGTGAAAAGCAATCAGTTTCTTTTGTATGATATTGTTGAAATTCTTATTGACTTGAACAATATAATAAATGGATTACTTTCAGTCATATGATAACACATCGTATCAGACTGTGCACATTCAATGAAATATCAAAAGACAAGCCCATGTACACTCACCAGATATTATCTCAAAAATTCCAACTAGCATGAAAACTGCAGTTTTCTTAAAACAAAAGAACAACAATAAAGCAGCAACAGATATCAACATCAGCAACGCCGAGACACCAACAAAAAATGTCGTTGCTCTGTAAGCGTCATTTATAAGAGAGTCGAAATCTGTGAAACTTCCATCGCAATCGTAACGTAATTCTATATTGTTCGGGTAACAACTTTTGTAAACTCCATGATGTCCATATCCAGGACTTTCTGGGGTATCACCAATCCACTGAGGCTGTACGAAAACAACAACATTAAAAGTTGCCCAAATAATTGTCAACACTGCCCAAAGAACACAGACAGCTCTGTACTCCCGCATGTAACGAAAATGGTAAATTCTTGCCGTGTCCGGATTATACTGTTGCTCCATTGTTATTCCCGTGTCCCCTTTATTTAGTTAGATCCAACTTTAAACTTGTTAGGGGAGTAAAAATGTCCCTTATTTACACAAGGGTGAGGCCAACACACAACTTCTAGTTCATGTATGGATCACTGTTATGCTTGAAGTACAAATCTATTAATAACATAGGATTTAGTCAATAGCGGCGAAAAACTGGTAGAACAAGTTTCACGATATCGTGTTCACTCATGCAATCAACAGGTAACTATATGGTAAAAATAGACGAAGGTGATTTAAAAATAACTACGGATTTTCCATGCAGCGAAGTGACAATTGTAGGTAAAGGGAATTAACTTTTGCGCTACTAACCGCCAAAACGACGTTCGAAGTTAAAACCGCCAAAACGAGAACTTTTAAAAAATTTAACCACGTTTCTTATATAGATTAGAGAGTAATCAACTACTGGTACTAACAGAACTTGCCACTCTTTTTATCGCCAGTATTTTTGGAACATTCACTTATATAGATGAACTCCGATCTCGGATACAACGCGCTATGCAATATTTAAATTAGTTATCATCGTAAATTGGGTAGCCATTTCAACGTGGTGTTATTACCCTATATTTAAAAAATTATACTGTCGTATATCAATTTATGAAAAGTTATTACAAAATCTTCATATTTTCTTTCAAACTATTGCGATGACAGCGGTGAACCAAATGCAATGCATCAAGATACAAGAGCTGACAGGACAGCGTGCTTGACTGTTCTTGGAGTTTGACAGTAAAACAAGTAGAATTTTCTAATTTCAAAAAGCGCCATTATTATGTCAAAATCCATGTTAGAATTGTGGTCCTTTGACAATGACCTCCTATTATTTTCTCAACTGTGTGAAGTTTCAACCCATTCCCTTAAATAGTTTTGAAGATACCGACTTAGAAGCAAAATCTTAATCAAAGTGCAACGCTGGCACATGGGTGAGTACAATAATCCCTATTCTTTGGATAGACAAAAATTAAAATTATAGTATTAATTTTATATTGAGCTGTACACAATGTACAGTATAGATGTTTTAGATTTTATGCCAAAATTAGGGATGACAATCCCACGACTTGAGTTAATAAAAGCCATCATGATCCTACTGATAAATTCAATGCCTTTTAAAATGCATATCATCATTATACCTGCATTTGATGGGAAAATAGAATGCATATTTTGATTATTTTCTACTCTTTTTTTTGTACACAGCAATAATATATAAAGTTCCTATTGAAACTATTTTGCATAATTATTAAATTTATTGCAGGATCCAGTTTTTTTCTATTTTTGATCATGACAATTATTTAAAATCTACTGCCATGGGAATGACATTCAATAAATTGTGCATTTATAATCCATGTTTTAGAGCAGCACGGGTTACATCTATAGAGGTGAACATTTGAGCCAAGTTCAAAGAAAATCCTTCAATGAGTATTATAGAAATCATAGAGCAGACAGAAAATTGTCTGAGATTTGACCTTCAAGTGTGACCTTGACCTTTAGTGTTTTTTTGTATTTTTTTAAGTTGTTAAAGGGTCCTACTCAGTAGGACTAATTGACAGTCGGCTTATTAGTATAGGAGGGAAATGAGAGTACAAATGAGTCTGTTTTATGACCTTATACTGTTATAGTATAGTTTTCTCTCCAAAGAGCCATTTCCACGGAATACTGTAGTGAACTTAAAATATACTCGAGATCTCAAAAATATTAATATAAAGCTATTCACATACAAATGATATACAATTCAATTAAAAATGATATATTTAAAAATGTAGAGCAATATACATGAACTAGCTATAATGTCAAATGATTAAATCTTTAATCATATCAATATATTGCTAATGAAATGTCACATCAGATGTTTAGTTATTATATGAGAAGTTTTTTGACCATTTAAGTCATCTCACCAAATGAACACATAACCATTCTATCATTCTTAAACCTCATATTTCTAAATTAGAAAAAGTCTTTGAAAGACCTTATTTAAAGGTTTTCATCATGTAAGACAAACAGTAAAAGATTATAATATAAAAGAATAATATTAAAGGAAGAATTTGCCTTTATTTGGTCATTGATGAATATAATTAGGGCGAATAAATCATAATATAGGAAGTGATGTCAAATATGTAAAAGAGTTCTGTCAAAAAGAATCTGTACTAAGTGACCTCAGTCCATGACCTGTTGGAACCATCATTATAGCCTATGCCATCAGTAAAGAGTTGACCTGGCTGATAGTACTGATAATGGCCAAATTTTTGTTTTTTTTAAAATTGAAATCCCTTAAAATCTTAAATGAACCATTTCAAATTAAAAGCAGGGCAAATCCTGCAGGTTAAAATGTAAAGCACTGTTAAATTGGCATGATTCTCATTTTTTTTTTCATGATCAAGTTGAGCTCAATGAATTGAGTATATTTTCTCAAAAATTGACTGTTATAATGGTGATTGACTAAAAGTTGATAAACTGGAAAATGATCACATTAAGATATATAAATATGTCTAAAATATAAAAAGACTGCTCCACTCTTTTTATAAATTGACATTACAGATAAATTCTGATGGTAACCGCAGCTTTCAAAAAATTTCATTGGGAAGGAATTATGATAAAATAGAAATTGACTTTCACCTGTACACTCAATATATATATACCTTTGGATGGGCAGCCTAATTATCGTTTGAATTTTGTTATGTTTGTATTTTCCCTTAAGAAAGAATTGGGCATGCACAAAATCATAAGTATAAACTGTTAAAACTTATTTAAAAATAACGAGATTATTCATTTTTCTGGAATGTTTTATTCTGTTAATGTACGATATTCATATGTGTTAAAGTAGCAAAGACATTTTATGTTACCTATGTTACAACTATTTTAAAGAATCAAGATTATGGGAAAAAAATGTAGGTTTGCTGTTAATAACTTTTTATAAAAATACAATATAAGATTTAACGTAATTACTCTTAAAGGGATATATAGCCTGGTATTACTTTTGGAGCAACTTGGATCAAGGGCACAACATTCTACTTGTAATTTTAAGTGTCAATTATGATACTTTCAAGTAATCCATTCAGGGTCAGGTTGAGACATATAAAAAGTAATGTCGAAGTGGGAGAAAATATCCGACATTCATGATTTGATGCTTCAGTAGTTAAAATGTTGTATCTAGTTTATCAAGTAGATCTACACCAGTAGTTTGATTGATGTGTTAGTGTGGGCACAGAGGCTCAAAATTTTAACAATATAATTTGCCCTAATTTCATGATGTATATTAACACACAGTATATGAATATATTCTGATATATGATCATTGTTTACTGATAGAATTTCAAGCTCCTGTATTTGTGAAAGTAAAGTAATTAGCAGTAAGATGTATATAATGCCACCTACCCATAACCTGAATATCGCCTACCCATAACCAACACTGGCAAATCCTTCAAAAGAGGTTTTAGTGATTTTAGAGATTGAGTTTCTTTTACAACAATTGAATAAATCTACAGAGTTTGTTTGATTGACAAATACTACTAGTAATTTCTGAAAACTGAAGATTCAGTGAGATTTAGTCTTTTTATTTATGAACTCTCCTGGTTAAATCATGCTGCCACCGAGCCTAAAATCATTTACCTACTTGAAGTATATCATTCAACAAACCTAACATTCTGTATATAGTTTGAGAAAGGAGTAAATGAGGACCGCTACATGCAGAACCCTTAATTTGCTGGTCACTCCAAAAAAATTAATTAAGTAAGGCAAATGTTTATCACTTGATATCATAAAGTTAAAAATCATTTTGCTTGTTTCTGGAAAATGTTTGTAATTTATCAAGTATACAGTACTAATTTCAGCAAATTTTAGTTTGGATAGGCCGGCATGACTTTTTTCTATAAATACTGGATTTATTTTCTTTGAGTGATAATAATGAAAATAAGTATGTCATAATTTTCAAACCACAAGATGAAAATAAGTCTTGTATTTATAGTAAAAACTTGAATTTTCTGTTAATTATGTACATTTTCTCTTTTAGACATTACAGTTTGAAAGATTTCCCCTAAAATTTTGTGTATTGGCTGAATTTAGAAAATAGTCTGCCAACACACCAGTGAAAATACAGAAAATATGTTTCACTGCAGTGAAAAATAAAATTTTTCAATGAAAATACTGAAAATGAAAATACGCTTTATATTCCATTCATATTTCTCAATATTTTATTTATAAGATAATATGATGAATGAGAGTATTAGCTATAAAGATTTTATCATGGTGTCCGATGTATATTTTTTGTGTCATATGTCTTTACATTGTCAACATCTTCGGATCTAACTAATCTTAAGAATTAGTTTTTTTTGTATCTTTAATATGCACAAACCACACATCTGTGAAAAATAATTTTCAGGGGGTCAGCAAATTGATAACTATGTATCCTCCTTTAAATAAATATAATGCAGCCCATGAATATGAACTTAAGGAGAGTGAAAATTAATATTCCCAGGAAAATATACATACATCTTGTGACTATTGCATCTGGAATCCGGAATTATGCTTTGGGATCAGTCATAAAATCTGACACATTTAAGTTTGAAAAAAAATTTTTTGTTCATTTGCTGTTTATAAGTTAAAAATCCCATATTTGAGAGAGAAAAAACCTCAGGATAAAGGTTTTCTTAAACTTTATAAATCTGAATAATATTGCGGAAAGCTACTTAAAAAGGCAGATTATTTTAAAATATTTGATGCCAAACTAGTAGGTAAACATTGACTGGCAATACCATGGATGATGAAGTATACAATGTAATCATATATTGAAGTAGGCCTCTTAAACATTGTTAGCTTTAAATTCTTACCTAAAAAAAGTGAAATATTTTAATATCAAATAAATACCAGTTTAAATGAGTTTAAGTTTGAGTAAAGGCATTCACCATTTTGTAAAAAAAAAATCTTGTATTAGGAATGACGATGTGATGTCCAAATTTCACTGGAAATATTATACCATAGACACTGAAATATCAGTTTAAATGAGTATAAGTTTGGGTAAAGGCATCTCCCCAATAAGTAATTAAACATCAGATATTCACAATGTGATCTGAAAATATCATGCCATACACAATGAAATAGTAGGAACCCATCCATCCATTCTTAGATG